CTAGAATATTTATAAAATGAGACTATTTCCAAAAAAAAAAAAAGTGATGTGTTCCTTTAAACCATCTTTGTGGGACAACAATGATGGTATAAGCCTGGCTTTGGTCTGCTAGTTACGACAAAGGGAGTCTTATTATCACATTTATTTTGCATCGCATGGTAATGAATGTTGTTCACAAACAAAGAGCCTTCTAACCTAACTGCCACTGCCCTTTTAACCGGATACACTTCATTTTCAACGTGGTGAAGGGCTGAATGTGGTACAGTATATGCTCTATGATATATGCCAAACAACCCATTACAACATGAAGGCTTCCAAAAGGTTAATCATATCCTTAACCCTGCTAAATAGCCATTTCATTGGTTATAAAAAAAAAAATACTCTAATATAGTTGATGCATCTCGCAACAGACAACAAATGGAGAAAAGCAAGGACACTCAATGCACTCGACCATGTTCCCTCCATCCATATGGAGGCCAAAACATATTATCATTAGGGTTGTGCCCACTGTAACAGGACATGAGGGACTTCCTATGGGGACCTGCAATGCTTCTATATCATCATCAGTGCACCCTCTATTTGAACAAGTAAATGATTAATGGTAGCTGCAAATGCAAATTTCTTGGATTGTAGTGGTTCTCAACCATGGACACACAAAACAAGTCATATGGGTGACAGTTTTTTAATCTTGAGATTTATCTATATCACATGAAAGATCAATAAATAATCTTTCCATTGATGTATTTTAAGAATAGAATTAGATATTAAGCTGAGATATGACTATTTGAAAATTTAGAATTTAAGAGTGCAAAAAATCAAATATTAAGAAAAAACTCTCCTTTAAATGCTGTTTCAAGAGTTCACACTTAGCTGATAATCAATAAGCGTATTTGGCATGCTGTCCCGGGAGACAGCCCTGAGCTCGTAATATCCTCGAGCCCGGGGCTCCCTCCCATTAGAAGGGCGAGAGGGGAGTTCGAGGTCAGGTAGGTCTCGAGAACTCCCCTGCTGGTCACCGTGAGAAGCGTAAACTAATTCACTTAGGGCTTCAACACGATGATAACTGGAGTGAAAAACTCAGGTTATTTATAATGTTTCCATAATCATCTAATAGGGCTGATAAGGAGCCAGCCGTGTTGATCATAAGCATGTGATCCTCTCGAAATTAGTTTATGAATAAACCGCACAAAAATTAAAATCTTTGAAATGCATATTAATAATCAAAAATTAAGCAGATATTTTTATAATAGGACATTTACAAATTATCTTCAAGAAACATCTTTACTTAATAATATAATGAATTTGGAATAAACTAAATGTTGATCATTTGAAATAAATTGCAAATATTGTCAATGTTTTGACAATGTCTATGTTTGGTTATTCCCAGGAAAATCCCCATGCAACATAGTCCAGAGTCACAATTTGCATATCTCCACTGTCTTGAGTCCATGTCCACATGTATACCTGTATCTTTATGAATAGATATTTTCCTCCTTTCTTTTACAAAATTTAGGTCCACATGAAAACGCAAAAACATGTTATGATGCACTATCATGAGCATGCCAAACCAACAAGTGATGATATAATTCTACGCATCAAGTATGCTGGCCGACCAGAAGCCTGAAAAAGGAGTATTGCATAATCTGATGTCAAACAAAAGAGCATAAACCATGACATCATTAAGCAAAATATACACTTTCACCATGATGACACTGTACGATGTCATTTGTTAGTTTACTTTGAAAAAAAAAAAGTTGTTGCTTTACATGAAATTAGGCAAGGCAAGTTACATTGAAAAAAAGAAGCTCCACACAATTAATTTGTGTTGTTGGGACAACATGAAGGAATTAAGTGAACTTCTTAGTTTTTACTAATTTATGTGGATTTAACATGGAACAAGTTATGCCCCCCCAAAAAATCAAGAATTGTGTTGTTTCAGCTCATTTTAAAAAAGTAGTTCAAACAAATAGCAAATTTCATTAACTGTAAAAAATACAGGGTTCCACACAGTACCTTGATGTTCTCCCAACACAAATCGATTCAGTTAACTTAATTGTTTTTACAAATTGGAAGTGGATAAGTTGTCCCAATGAAACTCAAGAACTGTGTTGACTGAGCTCATTTTAAAAAGTACTTTGAACAAGCAGCAAAAAATATTTTTTGAGTGTATTTTGAGTGTATATATTGGTGTTTCTTATAAACAATGTATCTGTGCCCATCTTCCAAAGATATGGGTCCCAATGGACGATATCAAGAAACGCTCTACAATTTTATTTCTCATATTAGAAACTATTTCAATCACATGTCCATCATGCCCCCCCCCAAAAAAAAAATAAATAGTTGGGTTACTTAGTTACTTTTATGGTAAGTAATGAGTAACATTACTTTTAAGTAACATTTGTGTTCCTTTTTATTACGTCCCTGAGGCTTGATTTTTCCAGAACTAGTTTTTTAATAGAAAAGTTCTGCAGTTAACAGCGCACTGTATAATTTACATCTTAATTTACCTTTAAAAAAACACATTAAAAAAATAGTATTTTAGTATGTTATGCGAGAACTTCCTTACCCCTGAGCTATACATGCCGTATGTACAGATTATTGAAGATTTAAAGCAATGTGTTTTCTACTTTTGTACTAATTGTAGAATCACTGTCCATTGAGACAAGTAAAATCACTGTCCATTGAGACAATCCCCTTTTCCTTTTCATCGATGTGTTCAAAATAATGAACACATTCTCTCATTGACTGCGTGACTCATTATGACTACTTTCATTTTAATTTAAATTAAATTTAAATTAAACTAAAAAGTAACTTGTTACGTTTTCAAAAAAATAACTAACAAATATTATTACTTATTTCTCAAAAGTAATGCGTTACTTAGTACTTATTAAAAGTAATATTATTAATTAAATTGCGTTACTTGTAATGCGTTACCCCAACACTGTTTAACTTCCATTTACTTTAAAAGCGACAAATCGCTCGACTTTACTTTAAAAAGTGAGTAAACCTAAGTACTGTTAAGTTGACAACTTATTTTTATAATTATTTACATGCACTGTAAAAAAAAAAAAGTTTGGTTCCACACCATTGATTTGTGTTGGGACAACATGAAGGAATTAAGTTAACTTATTATTGTTTTACAAACGTAATAGGATTTAACATAAAACAATTATGTTGTGGAAAAAATCTCAAGAGTTGTGTTGTTTTAGCTCATATTAAACAAGCAGTTTGAACAAACTGAGTATAGTTTAACTCACTATTTGTAAAGTAAAGTCAACTACCTGATTTTTACAGTGAATGCTAACAACAAGTTTCTGAAAAAGTTTTCAAAAAGGCCCAGTTTCAGTGACCGGATGCTACATTTGCATATGGATAAACTGCACAGAAAAAAAAAATGCACTTTTACAAATACCCCTGCTTTTGTGGGCCTGACACACCCATTTCAGGTCTTGTAGCCTCTATTAGAAAGCCGATGACCTGAAGGTGTGCTTGACTGAGACGACATTCAAAATATGTAGTGTTAGGGAGCCTCTAAGATAGGAACGTGGATGAAATCTATTGGATTAAAGTATAAGCAATTCAGAAGGCCAGAGGGTGATTTAATTTCACAATATTATCACAACACTCGCCCTACTGATGTGTCCAAACATTACAATTACTCGTCTGACTGGTATTAGGGAATTTCCCCTTAAAAATGTTCATAAAAGGAACAACTAGCTTTTTCTTGTACTGTTATAGATGAGGAAACGGACTAGACTTTTCACTCACACAAATATTAAGCTTCATTTACTTCAAAAACTGACGTATTTTAACACCCGATGCTACTACCGAAGCCAAGCATACAAGTCTGTCCCTAAATCTAACCATCAGTGTGGTGTAGGCAAATCTACAAAACAAACAAGCCAGCAAACTGAACACATAAAACCATAGTTTTTGTGTGCACTCAAAAGAAAAAATGTTTATTTGCTCAAACTAATTATTTAAAATGAGCTGAAACAACACAAATGTTGATATTTCATTAGGACAACTTTATTTTTCTATGTTCAATCTACTTAAATTTATTAAATCTGTTAACCTAACCGATTTTAATTGGGACAACATGAATGAATTACGTGGAACACTACATTGGTTACAGTGTGTAAGTGTTGCCATTTCACCTTCAAGAATTATTATATTACCACGTTTATGATGTAAAATAATTGATTTGGTGCTGATGTGTGAGCTATTATGTGTAAGCTGTTATTTAATGGATCTGGATAAGTTACTTATTAATGTAAGTTATTTAAATAAGATTTTTTTTTTTTACTTTTGAAAATAATAATACATTTTATACATTTTGTTCCAAATATTATGTATTAATATGTATTTACATGTAACAATAACTCTATTAAGCGCTCTGTACTTTCATGACTCTGGAATTAAGCTCTATTTGAATGTAAAGGAATTGTTATAAGTCAACTTGTATGCAAACCAAATGGACTATTATAAAAAAAACTTTGATAGTATATTTCAGATTTTTGCACTCATGTAAAAATGTTAATTCTCATAATTTGTTTATGATTACATAATATGAAGACTTTTAGTACTTAGTACCAGTTGATTAGATTTCCATGTTTGTCAAACATGCATAACAATACAAGATTGAAACACAAAATACATTTCTAAGTACTCAGCGTGTGTTTTAAACTGGATATCTGTATCTTAACAGATAACCTATCATGTTTTGTTACTGGTCCATATAACATTTATTTTCTGTTTTATGGCCACTTATTGGAAAAAAATAACTTTATAGTGCAGACCAGAACTCATTTTAAAAGTCAAAGCTGGATTTAAGTGGAATAACAATGTCAACGAGATTTCACCTGCCTGTATCTAGAAAGACGCACCTTATGCAAACACAAAGCAGTGGATTTTATGAGATTTGTTAGATCTGGAAACTCGCTTCATCAGTTTATTAGCGACTCACACTGAGATAAACACTTAATTTATTTGGCATTTACCTCATCTGGACTTAAATTAAAGGCTTCTGCTATTTTGTTGTACAGCTCTTTGACGTTCGTGAAGCCCTCGATCCTCCCTGTGGGACTCCCGTGCGCGAGCTGCGTATGGAACACCAGTTTCGGCCGCAGGCTGGCAGGTGGAGGAGGGAGTCCTCCGCCGTTCACCGCGGACTTCCCGACAACTGCATGTCCGCCGATCTCCTCGTTTTCCACTAAGTTCGAGCTTTCTCTCGACTTGTTTTTCTTTTTCCTGAGTCCCAAAGGCATGTTCGCTCCTCCTGTAAATCCGAAGGGGGCTTAAATTACACGGCAAACAGACAGCCAGAGCATCGAAGGACGGAAATCAACCTGTTTAACGTGTCCTTTTAGTCAGGTTCCCTTTAGAAAGCGACCGAAGAGCTAAAAACGGTAGTAATCAACAGGTGGTCGAGTATAAATTGACTGTATGCGGATCTACTGTAAACTCTCAAGCTGCTGAGACACAATGGACAACTCCACTGCTGAACGCACGCGCGATACAGGACGTCGTGACGTCAGCTAGAAACTCATTTACCTGGCTCAGGTGTCAGTTAATGATATTTTTAAAACTCTTAACTGGTAAATGCAGACGTACTCTTAATACACGCTGACTGTTTTGTGAAATAACCAACGCGCATTATAGATTTGTAATAGCCTAGTTCATTATTTTTCTTTGTCATTAATCCTTTAGTACAGTTAAATCTTCTCTTTGTCACCGGTTTCATTGAAACTTCTGCTTTCTTCATTGTGAAACAATGACTAATCCTCAGTTGCAAAGTTTGCTGATTACTTCGACTTTTCCCCTCATAAACTGCTTTTGAACATGTGGCGTCCTCTGGCGGAAATGTCAATAAATCACCTGTACGGTAAGTTCTGTAACTCCTGTTTTATTCGGCTAAAAATGTAACCAAGACTCCCAAACACAAAACACTAGTCAACAGGCTACAGAGTAAAAATATAAAGTATAATACTTTGATTTATGCAAATGTTCTCCAAATATCATAAACAAGGTATGCTATGAACCCACAGCACATGTAACCATTTTTGGTCTCTGTCAAAGACAGTTACATAACGTGAGTATGTCGCTCACAATTACAAAGATCTGACATATCAGATCTGAAAAGGCATTATTTTAGTCGTGCTGTATGCTGTAGTTTCATAAATAAAGGCAAGTATCCATGGTACAGCCACACGGACCACTCCAAAACATCATCTACTAAAGTCATACCATATTGTGCATCTAGAGAGAAGTATTAACAGTATTTGAATTGAAGTATTAGTTCTGTCAGCACAAGTGAGATTTACTTGAAAAGGCATACAAATAAATCAATATCATTTAGAATACTGTCGTTATGAAACAATACATACAGCACAATTCAAATTAAGCATAAAAATAACAGTAAATCAAGCAGGGAAATAAAAAACAGGTTGCACTTTAAGCTTGCACTGTCACTGACATACACAGTCATGCAACATGATTCATATATGTGTGTATTTAGATATATAACATACATATTTAACAAACATTTAGTTAATAAAAATAGAAATTGCACATTCTCAAAATTTGATTCAGGGACTGAATTTCTTGTAGAAATGTTGCTAAAGTTTGTCCAAGCTTATGAGACCGGTAAGTGCCGTTTCAGGACATCCTTGGCATTAGTTGGCAGGCTTTCAGGAAAGTTCACATCAAACTCCACTATGAGGTCCCCTCTTTGCTCTGGGTTCTTTGGGAAGGGCAGTCCTTGTCCAGCAATGACCTTCCTCATGCCAGGTTTGATGACGTCGGTTATCTTCATATTGCACGTTTTACCATCTATCGTCGACACAGTGACGGAGCAGCCGCACAATGACTATAATCAAAGAACAAATTGCGAAACAATTGTTATTAGTATAAGCAATATTCTACAAACTTCATTTGTTCTCTAAATTTAAAGGGATAGTTCACACAATTTTCAATTCTGCCATCGTTTTCTCACCCATGACTTGTTCCAAACCTTTATGAGTTTCCTTTTTCTGTACAACACAAAAGAAGATACTTTAAAGAATGTTGCAAGGAAAAAAATAATATGGAAAACATTGGCTATTGGGTCACACATTTCTATGTGGAGTATTCCACCTGATGGTGGATGGGTTGCAGCTGCAAAGGCATCCGCTGTGTAAAACGTGCTGGATAAGTTGGCGGTTAATTCCGCTATGGCGACCCCAGATTAATAAAAGCACTAAGTCGAAAAGAAAATGAATGAATGAACACCGGCTAGTGAATTCCAACATTCTTCAGAATATCTACTTTTTTTCTACGGAAAAAAAGAAACTCAGTTTTGGAACAAGTATGGATTTTGTGTGTGTTTTGTGTGCGTTTGTGTGTGAACTACCCCTTTAAAAAGTTATATCATTTTAATTATTAGTATTTTTTTAGAAATACAACAAAGATACACAAAAGCAGTTTTAACTAGCATTTTTTAACTGTTCATAACTGCATACCCATTTAACGCTCTCAGAGTTCTAGTGAGGATGCATCCTTCCAAGACTTCAAGGCTGTAGATCCTAGTCTCTCTTTCCCTAGTTCTACTCTCATTATACAATAGTATCAAATAGTATAATAAGTGTGCATGACTACAGTCTATGTCATAAATGTGCAGTCCGTGGCCTCCTACTGGTTTAAATTATGCAGTTTAGCCTCATGTGAGTCACTTATAACAAAAGAAAACAATACCTTCATCTCGAAAAAGAAACTTTTGTGTGTGTGTTGTCTTTCCTAATGAAATCAAATGAGCTCAGTGCTGATTTCCAGTTTTTGATGGAGCTTGATGATGTGACAACCTAGACAATCCAGTAGGCATGGGACGATAACTGTGTTCAAGGTATACCGCTGTTTGGAAAAGTCAAGGTTCTGAAATCATCAACATTTTCTGCTATACCGTTTCTAAAGTATGAGTAAGATTTTTTATTTACATTTTTTGTTTTTGTTTTTGAGGACGGCAGTATCTCCAGCAGAAAAGATCTCCCAAAATCAGTGTTTTCGAAACAAATGAAGACAGCAGAAGTCAATAGTTAATTTTAATTATTTAGCCTGACATGCTTACTGTTACAAAATACTTTGTGTTTCTCAAAATAAAATATATTGTGTACAAAGAGGAAAAAGGTTTTGTTTTTTACCCTGACATTTAAAAATCTTATATTTTAGAGCAGTGATCTCCATACTAGGCATGGGATGATAACTGTTTTCAAGGTATACCGCGGTTTGGAAAAATCAAGGTATTTAAACTAGCTAAAATGTGTTGATATAACGTTTCTAAGGGATATGTAGAGTTTTTTTATGGAAATCTGTGTTTTTTAAGCTAATGAAGATAGTAGAAGTCAATGGTTTGTTTTAATTATGTAGCCTGACATGTTTACTGTTCCAAAATATTATAAATATGTCTTAAAATGTAATATATTGTGTTAAATGGGGGAAAATGTTGTTGTTTTCTTCTAAGACATTTAAAAAGTCATCATTTTACAGCAGTAATCACAATACTGTGATACTGTAAACCCGTGATATTATTATCCAAAGTTATCATACTGTCAGAAACTTATACCGGCCCATGCTTACTCCATCCCATGACACTGTAAAACTGTGATTTATATCCAAGGTTATCATACCTCAGAACCTTATACCGGCCCTTGCCTACTATCTAGTTCTACTAATATGGGTCCTACTGTTTGAGATGGAAATCATGACACCCCAACCTGCTTTTATTGCACAAGTTATCTGCAAAAACATATGTCAGCTTGATAAGAACTACGTTTAATGATGGAAATTTGATTTTTCCTGCTTAGCTTATTATATCTTATTGGTTTTCATGGACAAATCCTAGGTTCCAAAGCCAATCCTAATGCCCATTTATTTATTTATTTATTTATTTTTAATTAATGAATTAATGAATTAATTAATTTATTTATTTATTTATTTTTGCTTCAAATTAAAGCCTTTTAAACTTTAAAGCATTTCTGAGGCAAAATTCCATGTGTTTTGCTGCTAATCATTTATTATATGTATATTATAGGAATTATAACTCTTTACACTTTATATTATACAGTGCTCGGCATAAATGAGTACACCCCATATTGAAAATGAATATTTTCTCCCATTTTTTTGTGAATATGGGTAATATATTTTGGTGCATTTGAAAAAAAAAGATTTATTAAACAGATATATTTATTAAAATAATATTTTAGTCACTGAACATGCTTAGAAATAGAAAGATAACACATTTAAATCCAAACTAAATTTAGCTTGATTTAGATTTTTTTCCCCCTCTTTTTTTAAAAAACATTTTTATTTAATATTTTTCCCTACCATATAAAGTTGGGCTGCTAATATTTGGACTGAGATCATTTTTTTTTTTTCTTTTTTCATTAGCTCCAGATTTGGCTTCACTACTGCCTAATCTAATGTTTTTGCTCAAATCTAATATTGTAAAGCATCCTATTTACAATCGTAGATTTAAAATTATCGATTTGTTAAGGGTGTACTCGTATATGCTGAGCACTGTATATTTAAATCCTTTTGAATCGTTAATCAACATTAGTAATAGCTTTTACATATAAATTTGCTTTCCTTTACAGAGCTTTTGAGCTGTTTGTGAACCTACATTATTAAAATCAGTTGATTGAATTGCACTAAAATAATGATACGTCTTCTCATACTTTTGCTGCATTAGTAGTGTTTATTTCTGCTTTGTACATGTTTTTAAATACATGAGATGAGTTGCTGACTCTCGTGAGAATCTACTCCATCTGACTCTCTCATGTGTCGTGTATTTGGCTGTTAGCAACACGTGTCACACTTTCAGCTGCATGTGGTCCAGAGTTAAGTTGCGGTCACACTGGACTTTTCTCCCCATAGACTTCCATTCATACGCACGCAAATGCATAGACCGGAAACGCAAGTTCGGGCGTCAAGTTTCGCAGTTCACTGCGTTGCAAAGTTCAAGCTTGGTGAACTCTGACCTGCGAAAACGCATCCTGTGACTGTGTGAGACCAATCGAGGATCAAAACATGACCTCTTTGTACAGAAATTTAAAATATCGATCAATCGCTCACTTTTTTTAATGTCTAACCCTTGAATTAGACATTGAGTTGAATTTTATGCTGTCATTTCTTTAGTAAATTGATCAGGGAAATCCATGCCTGATGTAAGTTACTATTTGAAGATAAAAGCTTTTAGATATGATTTGTTTAATAATATTTTTCATCTATTTAATTTTGAATCAAACTGATCTTGATTAAGTTTACTCCTAACAATTTCCCTAAATGACAAGAATGAGAAAAGGCATCAAAGTGACAGCATGACAATTTGACAGTAACCTTCTATTATGACAGCAACGCAAGCAAATATCCAGCAACCTTTCTAGCTCATTATACTGCAGTTGCTGCTTGCAAAAATATATCCACCTTTTCCCCTTTTAACACCAAGCTTAAAAGCATATTTCATTTGTTAGATGGGTTTGGTGCTCTATGTACAGAATTGACATTTACAGAACAGTGTGTTAATGATTCGGTCGTGCGAGTACATCTTGATGGTCTCTAACAGTTTAAGTGGGCGAGCGCCTTTTCTGGCAACTCAACACAGCTCGTATTACTTGCTGTCCAAACTGCATTATGTAAGAGTGAAGATTTCAAACAAAGATTTGAACATTTTTAGCTGGCAACAATTTTTAAAACTGTAACTTTTGCACAGATCTATCGAAAGTCATAGACACATTAAAAGTGTAAGTAATTTTAAATGAAACTGTAATTTTAAAAGTTACAGTTAATATTTAATTTAAAAAATAAAATACAGTTAGAATAAAGTGATTTAAGTTAAACTTTATACCATATATGACAGAAACTTTTACTTCTGCATTTAATGCGAGATACTATACATGTACATTTGACAGACTTATTAGCCCTCCTTTGATTTTTTTTTTTCTTTTTTAAGTATTTCCCAAATGATGTTAAACAGAGCAAGGAAATTTTCACAATAATTCTGATGATATTTTTTCTTCTGGAGAAAGTCTTATTTGTTTTATTTTGGCAAGGACAAAAGCTGTTTCTTTTTAAAAAAAACAAAACACAAAAAAAAAAAACACATTTTAAGGTCAAAATTATTAGGCCCTTTTAGCTATAATTTTTTTCAATAGTCTACAGAACAAACCATCGTAATACAATAACTTGCCTAATTACCTTAACCTGCCTAGTTAACTTTATTAACCTAGTTAAGCCTTTTAATGTCACTTTTAGCTGTATAGAAGTGTCTTGAAAAATATCTAGTCGAATATTATTTACTGTCATCATGGCAAAGATAAAATAAATCCAATATTATAAATTAGTTATTAAAACTGTTATGTTTAGAAATGTGTTGAAAAAAATCTTCTCTTTGTTAAACAGAAATTGTGGGAAAAAAATTAAAATGGGGGCTAATAATCGAGGGGGTAATAATTCTGACTTCAACTGTATACAATATATATACACAGTAAAAAAAATCTGTGATTTTACGGCAGCTGGAAAAAAAAAGTAAAATAACGGCTGTTAAATTAAAGAAATTTCCTTAAATGTAAATTTTTGGTAAATTTCTGTAATTCAACCTGTTGTTTTACAGTAAATCTCTGTAATTTTACAGTCGTTACTTTAAATAAGTAAATGAAATAGTCTTTTCAAATAAATAAACCATAAAATTATTTTTTTTTTTACAGATGGCAGCATACTATATATTATTGTACGAAACAATATATATTTGGAAGTGAAATCAATCATCATATACTTTAATAATATATATATATATATATATATATATATATATATATATATATATATATATATATATATATATATAATATTTATTAAAGTTATATTTAACAAGCAACCTTTTAGTTCAGATGGATGAATGCAGTAATGGACTTTAAGAGACATAAAATATTAAATAAATTAACTGTAATAAAACTTATAACATATTCTGAACATTACAATCAACATAAAATACTGAAACTGATGTGCATTTTGAAATTAAAATATTGATAATATTTGATATTGATGACCTGATAATTCTACTCAGCACCACCATTGATAGATAGATAGATAGATAGATAGATAGATAGATAGATAGATAGATAGATAGATAGATAGATAGATAGATAGATAGATAGATGGATGGATGGATGGATGGATGGATGGATGGATGGATGGATGGATGGATGGATGGATGGATGGATGGATGCATGGAAGGATGGTTGGTTGGATGGATGGATGGATGGATGCATGGAAGGATGGTTGGTTGGATGGATGGATGGATGGATGGATGGATGAATGGATGGTTCTCACCTGGCGCAGACTGACCCGGACTGGATACACAATATCAGACCCCTCTCGTCGAAAGTGGCCGTGAGGCTTATCTTTAATGACAAACACAATATCGGCAGGGATAGTATTAGGCGTTTCGTCACCCTCCCGTGGAAATGTGATTTTGGTTCCCTCTTTCCAGCCACGCTTTATCTCAATAGTGAGGATTTTGTCCTCGGTTCTCAAGGTTCGACCATCCGGATTTAAGCGCTTCCGTGAGATTTTCATGCGTTTGGTGCTTCCGTGAAAAACCTCCTCAAGTGACACCCGGAGCTCGTGGTGGATAGCCGGGTCTTGCTTCCTGCGTGGCGGGCCACCTTGACCTACGTGCCGTTCGCGTGGAAATCCATTTATGTTAAAACTCGTAAAGGAACCAAAAGGATCGTTTCCGTCCACTTCCATGTCGTCCTCATCTCGTCCGTTGACTTTCCTGCCAAAAAATACCTCAAAAGGACTGGCTCCTCCGAAAAACGTGGCGAATGTCGCGTGAGGGTCTCCATGGAAGGTGTAGGTGAAGTTGCCACCTGGGCCGTCGGACGCTCCTCCACCTCCTTTAAGACCTAATAATATAGAAAAAACTCATTTTATTTTCGAAAAAATAGACTGAGGAAGATTTAGGCCACAAACACATGCTGTCATTGCTATGCAACCCAGCGCAGTTATCTAGTAAACACACCACATATAATACCATGTCTATTTATAATTAGAATAAGACAGCAGCGACATATCCATTTTGACATTTAGGCTTGCAGGGAGCATTGTTTCTACATGAAAAGATTTAGCCTTTTGGTTGAGCAATGATGAGGACTAAAATAAAAACATAACCATATGGTCAGCTTATAACGCAATGTATATATTTTTGTATAGCCTAAAGCCTACATTATCTGACATATTTTACAGTATGAGTTGGGTAGATATAGAGAATATGTTCTTTGTTACCATGGGTATTACTGATATGAAGGAAGAACATACCTTCTTCTCCATACTGGTCGTATATTTCTCGTTTCTTTGGATCGCTGAGAACTTCATAAGCCTCTGCGACCTCCTTGAATTTCTCTTCAGCGTTGGCTGCCTTGTTCTTGTCAGGATGCCATTTCAAAGCCTGCTTTCTGTACGCCTTCTTGATATCGTCGTCTGATGCTCCTTTCGTGATTCCCAGTATTTTGTAATAATCTTTGCCCATTTTCCACTATGCAGACCGCGCTGCTGCCGCTGCCCGAGGATTCGACTGTCGGTTGATAAAGAAGACGGCGAATAAGAGCGCTACACTGTCAAATCCTGCCTCTTTAAACCGTGATACAGATGATCAGTTGATCTCTTTGTGTCTGTTTGGAGGCGGTTACTCAGCACTAAAGATCTTGTGTTATTTTACCCTCTTTAAATAGCCATTCCTCCCTCCCCTGTACCATTGCAGCTCCGGATTCAGAGCGCTTTCTAGAACGTAATAGCTGAGGCACGTCATTTCCCATTTTCAAATACAGTCTCAACCAGGAGCGCAACGTTCTCTATCTATCTATCTATCTATCTATCTATCTATCTATCTATCTATCTATCTATCTATCTATCTATCTATCTATCTATCTATCTATCTATCTATCTATCTATCTATCTATCTATCTATCTATCTATCTTACACTTGAAAACTGTGTACAATCTTTATTTAAAAAGTTACTTGAACAATTAGAATTTAAAAAATATTCTTTTATTTATTTATTTATTTATTTATCTTATATTTTTTTAGTCAATAATGTGACAATCTAAAAATTAATAAATAACAATCTAGAAAAAAAATAAATATAAATAATAATGAGATGGCGAGTAGTGTTGGTAGGTAGTGCTGTCACCTCACAGCAAGAAGGTCAGCTGGCGTTTCTGTGTGGAGTTTGCATGTTCTCCCTGCGTTCGCGTGGGCTTCCTCCGAGTGCACAGTCCAAAGACATGTGGTATACAGGTGACTTATTGGGTAAGCTAAATTGTCTGTAGTTTATGAGTGAGATTGAGTGTTTAAATGGTTGATTCCCAGAGATGGGTTGCGTTACTTGCGTACAACATGTGCTGGATAAGTTGGTGGTTCATTCGGTGGTGGCGACCTTGGATTAATAAAAGGACGAAGCCGAAAGGAAAAAGAATGAATTAATAAGGATCAGAAATAATAATTTTTTCAAATTTAGTTTTGTATAAATCTCAAAATCAACCCTTCTGGATCACAGTCCCGATCAAAACTACTAAATTGCCTAGAAAATTACAGCATTTGAACCATTTAATTTCCAAATTCATAAATAATGTCACTGATTTGCTGAAAAAAAAACACACAAAATTACATATTTTCAATATAAAAAGTCACTGTGGGTTGTATTTTTTTAACCTTTTATCAAAGTCTTAGACATGTGACACAACATTGCCTTTGATCCAAATTTACATTGTTTTTGATTAATTTGAATTTATTTTCTCATTAATTTACTATTGTTGTCACATTTTTTGGATTACAAAACCACGACACCATATAATCATACCTTTTTGATTGTTGGTGGTAAAATTGGTAATTTTTACTGTTGATCATCAGTTGACACCATTAACCCTTTAGATGTTTTTGCCTGTGCAAAAAAAAAGCTTAGTTTCTGGATTTTATATGGAGTATAACATCATATTACAGTGTGTGTATGTGTGTCTATGAGAGTGTGAGATGTGTCTGAGAAAATCTAATAATGCATCTTAGCTCTCAGAACTACATGAAGTAAACATAAACAAAGACTGTGTGCTTATGCTTCATCAAATGTGGTTATAATGGAAGTCAACGGGGCAACAACAGCCACCAACAGTAAATTAGGAAACTAAATTAGGGAAAAAAATGAAAATTCAACAATGCATCAAAGCCAACGTTGGTGTCCAAGACTGTGATAAAAGGTTAAAAAATTACTTTTTATATTAAAAAATACGTCATTTTGTGTGTTTTTTCACCAATAAGTGAAATCATTTAAAATGTGCCAATTAAAGAATTAAAATCTTGTCATTTTCTTAACATTTTTTTATCAGCAAAGAGTTTGATTAATAGATTTATGCAAAAAAAATTAAGAAATATTTATCAGATTCAATTTTTACAGCAGTTTAATTACAGCTGATGTTTTCATCCCTAACATAACAAAAGGGTAGTTTTTGAACAGTGCACAAGGGGTAAAATAAACTATATTCCTTAAATGTTACATGTAAACATTTACTTACACCTTAACTTGTTCTAATCCTGCTTGACTTTCTTTTTTCTTTTTAATGCAAAAGACAATATTTTGAAGAAAGCTGCAAACCTGTAACCATTGACTTCCATTGTATTTGTTTTTCTATATAAATGGTTACAGGTTTGCAGCTTTCTTCAAAAAAGTATTTATTTAGAATAATATTAGTATGTCCCAAGAGCCAGTCGATTTACCGGTCAATCTACATTCCTACTCTCACCTATGGTCATGAGCTTTGGATCATGACCGAAAGAATAAGATCTCAGATACAAGCGGCCGAAATGAGTTTCCTTCGAAGGGTGGCAGGGCGCACTCTTATGGATAGGGTGAGGAGCTCTGACACCCGGGAGGAGCTCGGAGAGGAGTCGCTGCTCCTCCACATCGAGAGAAGTCAGCTGAGGTGGCTCGGGTATCTGTTTCGGATGCCTCCTGGACGCCTACCTAGGGAGGTGTTCCAGGCATGTCCCACCGGGAGGCGGCCTCGGGGAAGACCCAGGACACGCTGGATGGACTATTTCTCTCGGCTGGCCTGGGAACGCCTCGAGATCCCCCCAGAGGAGCTGAAGGAAGTGTCTGGGGATAGGGAAGTCTGGGGTTCTCTCCTAAGACTGCTGCCCCCGCGACCCGGCCCCGGAAAAGCGGCAGAAGACGAATGAATGAATGAATGAATGAATGAATGAATGAATGAATGAATGAATGAATATTAGTATAGGGCAGCACAATGCTACAGTGGGTAGCATAATTGCCTTACAGCAAGAAGGTCGCTGGTTCGCTCTGTAAAGCATATGCTGGATAAGTTGGCGGTTCATTCTGCTGTGGCAACCCCAGATTACAGTTTTTCTCTATTCTCTAATTCTAAGATCATTGGGCAAAACAGTGTTACAGTTTAGCACAACACTATAGCTCACTTGCTAAAGCTCATACCTTTCCCGAAACAGTTCACCTGTATGTCAAAACTAATTTTCCTTCTCATTTAAACATTCAGTGCCCCCAAAATGCTTCGTCCATTTAGCATTGTGTAAGCACTGCAAGTCAAAATGTTTATGTTTTGTCATTATTGCAAAGGACCACTAAAATATCCCTCATGTCCACCTTAGCCCAGTCATTCATTGACAATGGTTACTGTACTGTTTTTGTCTAGCTAACAGAAAACAATAGTGTGGATAAAACTGAAAAAAAAGTAGGATTTTAGGGTAAGAGTATCCTTCAAGGCTTGACGTCACACACTGCACTCTGCCAAGGAAATGGTATCTCCTTTTTTATTGTAATGATCAACCACACACAAAGTAATTTCCACGTATCAAAGCAAAAAGCTATAAAAATAAAAAATAAATAGCTGTATTAATATTGTAATCAAATGTTCTAAGGATTTACCTACTGCATGGTGTTCGTGGTATTTTCTTGACTAATTTTGACAATTGAACAGATTATTGTGCATGTAATGACATATAAAATGTAATGACGCTGACCCATTTTGGAGAGAACAACCATTAAACTGGGAATTAACATTCAGTTTAGATCAACAAGATCTATTCACTTAGAAATTGTGCTAAATGTAGGCTATCTGTACTTAATCATTTGCAAAGATGTTAGACGTTTGCAACTTGATGAAATGAATGAGAAATTCAATTCTGTTGTGAACAATTGCCAAGTGATTTGGAGGTTTGTCTATGTTGTTTTGAAATGAGCCAAACCAATGGAGAAAAACTGTAATAAAGGGACTACGCCGAAAAGAAAATGAATGAATGAATATTAGTATAATAAAAAACATCTTGAAACCACTTGAGGGTGTATAAATAGTGAGTACATTGTAATTTTGGGGGAACTATCCCTTTAACAAAATGATAGACCTAGCATATCGTTTTAGAATACAAGCTATTACAACTATTGTATTTATGTTATGCTGTCTACTAAGCAAAGCTCCCAATGGTGCAGGCAACGAAAACAGATGTAAAATAACAGTTCAGATTTTCCCTTGTATAGCAGTTTCCTCTCAATCTCAATCATTCGCTGCTCAGACCCAGGCTCTGCATATTTGAAGTAATCTCTTGAAAAAAATATTAGATAACAAGTCTGATAGGAAAAAATGCTGCCAGGCAACCACGGTTTGCTTTTAGAAATGTCCATGTTTAGACTGTGAATGTGAACAATATCGACATAAAGGCATAGCTCACTCAGAAATAAAAACTCTTTCGTCATTTACTCACTTCAGCTTGTTCTTTTAAACCTCCCAGCAGACAAAACAGCATATGCTGGTAAGGTATGATTCAATGCTGATTTATGCCAGTCATTCAAGAACCAGCATGTGACCAGCAAACCAGCATCAAAACATATTTTAGCCTACCAGCATATGAGGTTTGTTTTTCAGCATGGGCTGTTTGAGCTTGTTCCTTTTGAACAAAAAAAAAGAAAAGATTTTTGTTGGAAACCTGTAGCTATTCTGTCATGGTAAGTTAATGAAACGTATACAAAAGGTAGGATCCAAGTGCATTTTAATATAGAAATTGTTGTGCAGATAACAGGTGAAAAACAAAACATCTAAAAACAAAGTATCAATAGAACAATCATAAACAAAACAAGAAACTAAAGTTGCGTTCACACTGGACTTTTCTCCCTATAGATTTCCATTCATATGCGCGCAAGTGCGTTAAGTTTTGCAGATCGCAGCATTGGAAAGCTTGGTGAACTCTGACCTGCGAAATCGCATCACTTGACTGCGTGAGACCAATCGAGGATCAAAACATGTTTTAAAATAATTTAACAATTTAAAATATGGACCAATCGCTTGCTTCTTAATGTCTAATCATCTTGTTTAATCCCGCCCCTTTTCAGCGCCATATGACAGAATTTCGCCAGCTCGAAGTCTGTTGTGACCGTAGCTTATGGGAAGGTCTGGGTTTACAAAACAGGACACAACATACCATACAAAACAACGACTCAGTGACAAACAAACGAGTGCAGGGTGTATAAATAGTCCAAACAATCCATGGTGACAGCTGTGTGTGTGTGTAATCAGTGGAAGTGGAAACCGGTGTGTAGCAGCATGAAGGGATTTGTAGTTCACCATCTCTGCAGTCATTGATCGCTGGCAGACGTGACATATTTACTATAAACAATATTTTTCCCCATGGATGTAATTGGCTACCAGTTTTTAACATGAAAATATCTTCTTTTCTTTCGAAAGAGTGAGGATAGTACCCCTGTTCTCCAGTCATTACATTGGCTACCTGTTTGATGCAGGGTACATTTTAAAGGGCAGCTATTAAGCTCCTTTTTACAATATGTAAATGAAGTCTGAAGTCACACATATAATCTTTTATAACTCTTTGAAACTGCCCTTTTTAGGCTTTGATTCAAATTGTGGCTTTTTGCTTACAGTCGCTTTAAATTCAAATGAGATTGTGCTTTTTTTAAATAAAGGAGGAGCTACAAACACCTATGCAATAGTATAACAGCAGATTCAAAACAGGACTAATGTTACATTTGACAAATTGAAACTGCATCCTAAAACTCCATGTTTATAATACCTCTTAGTCGCTGACATTATCTCATCAGCAGGCCTGTTGTGAAAACTCTAAAGGTGGATGCCTGCTTCTTACTCAGGGCTGTCTGTACTATAATCAGGGGGAGATCGTAATAGGTGGGACTTTGCCCCTCTGATGACACAAAAAAGTGTGAATGTCAATCAAAGTGTTTCTGCAGACTGAAGTGATTAATTCAAAAATAAATAAATTAGTAATTGTTTTACTATTACAGGCTGGCAATATATACTATAAACTCAATTGTGCTAAAAACCACCTGTGTGGTTGGTTGAAGTGATTTTTACATTATAGGTCCCCTTTAAAATTCTCTTTAGTCTTATTATTTTTTTAAAATCTCTACATGGTTAGCCCCTTCATATACACTCACAGGCCACTTTATTAGGTACACCTGTTCAACTGCTCGTTAACGCAAATTTCTAATCAGCCAATAAGATGGAAGCAACTCAATGCATCTATGTAGACATAGTCAAGACGATCTGCTGTAGCTCAAACCAAACATAAGAATGGGGTAACAAAGGTGATTTAAGTGGCTTTGAACATGGCATGGTTGTTGGTGCCAGATGGGCTGGTCTGAGTATTTCAGAAACTGCTGATCTACTGGGATTTTCACACACAACCATCTTTAGAGTTCACAGAGAATGGTCCGAAAAAGAGAAAAAATCCAGTGAGTGGCAGTTCTGTGGGCACAAATGCCTTGTTGATGACAGAGGTCAGAGGAGAATGGCCAGACTGGTTTAAGCTGATAGAAAGGGAACAGTAACTCAAATAACCACCCGTTACAACCATGGTATGCAGAAGAGCATCTCTGAACGCACAAAACATCCAACCTAGAAGCGGATGAGCTACAGCAGCAGAAGATCACATCGGGCGCCACTCCTGTGAGCTAAGAGCAGTTAACTGAGGCTACATTTCGCACAGGCTCACCAGTTCAAGCTCAACGGTTCAAGATGGTGTGGGGGATGTTTTGTTTGCACACTTTGGGCCCATTAGTACCAATTGGACATCGTGTCAATGCCACAGCCTACCTGAGTATTGTTCCTGACCATGTCCATCCCCTTATGACCACAGTGTACTTATCTTCTAATGGCTACTTCCAGCAGGATAATGAGCCATGTCATAAAGCGCAAATCATCTCAGACTGGTTTCTTGAACATGGCAATTAGTTCACTGTACTCAAATGGCCTCCTCAGTCACCAGGTATCAATCCAATAGAGCACCTTTGGGATGTGGTGAAACGGGAGATTCACATCATGGATGTGCAGCTGACAAATCTGCAGCAACTACATGATGCTATCATGTCAATATAGACCTAAATCTCTGAGGAATATTTCCAGTAGCTTTTTGCATCTATGCCACGAAGGATTAAAGCAGTTCTGAAGACAAAAGGAGGTCCAACTCGGTACTAGTAAGGTGTACCTATAACATATTATTGTTACTGATTGTTGACTGAACAAAAACAATAAGAGCTTTTAAGTCAGCTAACATAAGGCTCTTGCTGGTTCCCTAAGAAAATAGAGCTTTCACCACAACTGCCTCAAAGAAATTATGAAAATGTCTTCATGTGGATATTAGAACTGCTCTGACGTTATCAATTTAACATCTTATACTAATAATTTCTATCAGATCTGGCGCAAAAATTGTAACACTTTCTTTGGTGTAATGCTTTGTTGATTTTATGTTTATACTATATTTGCCTTAATTTTCTTACTGTTCATCATAAACAACAACAACAACAAACGCATGATGGTGAGACAATTTTTAGATGGACTATCTCTTTAAGCAATCTACACCGTTCCAAACACAGGCTGTAAAAAACAGAATGTTCCGCACAAGTGTGCCGCAAGCCTACGTTTGAGTGAGGGTCTCGGCCGTTAGATCGCCCCCTGGGGGCTGGCTGCAGTACAAGTCATAAAGCCCGCCTCCTCCGTGTTAATGAAGGAGACTTGAGCCCAAATAAAAAAAAATATTACACTTGCAATAAAATGTCCCGAAAGATAGTTCTGGTCGATTAAGGCACTGGTTATTGTGCTGAAATAGGTGCAGATCTTCATTTTTGTAAACAGTTTGTTTTTAGCAGTAATTTAATGCTGGGCGTGTCATCGTGATTGACAGCTGTGATTGACAGTTTCTCAAAGCGCGGCGTCTGAGCTTCGGCAGGAGACTGAAGTAGACTGAAATGTTATTATTCGATTTCTGTGTTATTTTACCATGACAAAATGAGTTCAGCAGTAAACTATAGTTTCTGACATACATGATTTGGTGGAACACTGTTTATTCGCTAAGATCAGGGCTTTTTTCGGGCTTTATTAGTTTGCTGATACACGCCTAGCCACCCAGATAGCAAAACACAGTTCCGGCTAGATTCTCGCCTGCCGGAGACTTATCTCTTAGAGCTCAGACTGACTACCTCTGCTGGACCTACTCCGGATGCCTGGACTCACTACCCAATTCCAGCCCGAGTCAATCGAGCCAGATGCGGCGGCCGAGCGAGCCGGCGCTGCCGCATGCGAGCCGGAATTAGCCCGTGACGCCGCGAGTAAGTTATGCGCTGCGGCCTGGAGCTGGCGCGATTGAATATATAAAACCCTCATATTTGTTAACGTTATTACATCCATTTGTGTTGATATGACAGCAAACGCATGCTGAGAAGTTCGGGGGGCGTGGTTGATTTTACATAAAGCGTTTGATTGGAAGCTCGACTCTGCTCATTTTCGCGGCTCCTCCTCTGGCTCCATCAGACAATCCTTCTGCGCATGTCAAGGCTCCAATTTCAGCAGTCTTTTGCGACAGTTTGTGCCCGTCAAGCAGGCGTTTTGCCCTCAAGGCGTTCAATGGGAAAAAGGGCTGTCGCGTCGTCCATATTTTTTACAGTCATTGGTTCCGCATCACAACAAACTCCCACAGTTCCATCTGCTGGAGGAAAGCAGCGGTACAGCATGAGTTCCTCGGTGAGAGGCTGGCATCTCTCTCGCTGGACCACTGCACTGTTTCATCCAAGCGGGGGCTGTGACTCAGCGTAACCGCAGCAATAAGGTTAAAATATAACAATCCGCCACAAATTAAACTAAAAGGCTTATTTAATAGACTTGTTAACCAACGCGTGACTTTTAAATACGAATATTTGAAATCATGGATCACTTCCGCGGCTTGTTTGAGAAACTCGACAAGAATAAAGACGGTTTTATATCTACTGAGGAGCTGCAGAGTGAAATGCGAAGGATAGGTGTGGAACCAGTCAATGAAAAGGTTAAAGTAAGATTTCTTTGTTCAGTAGCTACTCAAAAGCACAGTTGTTTTATATGGTTTATTTTTTATATCTGGGTGACAAAATGTTATTCTTGTTCAGGCTATTTTGTCCAGTTATGATAAAAATGAGGATGGACGTCTGAGCTATCAAGAATTTCTTGTTTACATGATGGACAAAGAGAAGAAATGGAAAATAGATTTCCATGCCATTGACAGAAATGAGAGTGGTAAGCAGACTTCTCCCAATATCCTTATTTCCTTATTAAAAGTGTCAACACGAGGGTAAAACTTTATTTTTAAATATTCTTTCTTCTCGATAGGGGTCATTGACTTGGAGGACATCATGACTCTCTTTAAGGAACTAGGTTTGATCATATCAAAACCCAATGCAAAAAGAATCATTCAAATGTAAGATCCTCCAAGCGGTTTCACATTTGCCATATTTTATTTTTAATTATTACAAAACACTGGTTTACAAAGATGTAGACTTCAGTACTCTGGAAGACGAGAATTATATTGAAATATCTGCAGACTGGAAGTTCTGACAGTTTATAAATCAGTTATATTACATTATTAACATTTAATTTTATTTTTCATTAGGATGGATAAAGACAACTCTATGACAGTAGACTGGGAGGAATTTCTCCATCATGTTATTGTTAATCCAGCAGAAAACATTGGGGAACTGGTGTCTTCCTGGAAACATAACCTGGTAAGATAAGCTTTCAAATACCTATATTCTCTTTAAAATACCTCAGGAAATGTTATAAATCAAAATGAGACTAAATTTTGTAGAATTCACAAAATTCAGGTTATTTTCTAACTGACCCACACATTTCAGGACACACAATCCAGACCACTAGATCCAGCACTGGACATTATTGGAGATAATAAGGCAGATGACAGTGGAGGTCCATAGTGGAAGTCAATGGTTACAAGTTTCTTTAAAGTATCATTTTAGCCTTAAACAGAATTTAAAACTGCCTCTAACTATTTAGTCTCTGACTGAAAATAAAATTAAACTGGGTGTTCTTGCCAACTTTGTTTTTTACCAGTTTGAATTTTAGAAACAAGAGGTATTATAGTATACAGTGCTTTATCTTTCTTGTCAAAAACCCGATGCACATTAAAGTTCAATCTTTCACTCATAAACCCACTCTAACCAATGCCAGCAGACTCCATGGACATCTAAGAGCAATACAGTGCATCCGGAAAGTATTTATAGTGCTTCAATTTTTTCACATTTTTTTTATGTTACAGCCTTATTTCAAAATGGATTAAATTCATTTTTTCCCTCAAGATTCTACACACAATACCCCATAATGACAATGTGATAAACGATTTTTGACATTGTTGCAAATTTATTAAAAATAAAAAAAAAAATGAAAAATTACATGTACAGAAGTATTTACAGCCTTTGCTCAATAGTTTGTAGATGCACCTTTGGCAGCAATTACAGCCTCAAGTCTTTTTGAATATGATGCTACAAGCTTGGCACACCTGTCTTTGGGATTTTTTCTCATTCCTCTTTGCAGTACCTTTCAAGCTCTATCAGGTTGGATGGGAAGCGACGGTGTACAGCCATTTTGAGAGGGTACTCGCTGCAGAGCCATTTGAGGAGAGGTGAGCTCCAGAGAGGGGGAGCATGAGCTGTCGCTCCTCCTCCTGTAAGCTGTTTTAATGCGTACACCAACCCCACCCCTAACCCTACCCCCAGTGACATCACTCGTAGAAGAAGTGCAAAAAAGGTGGAGCTCAAGCTTAAGCTCCCCCTCTCTGGAGCTCACCTCTCCTCAAATGGCTCTGCAGCGAGCACCACTTGGCCATTTTCAGATGTCTCCATAGGATTCAATAGGATTTTGGTCTGGGCTCTGGCTGGGCCACTCAAGAAAATTCACAGAGTTTTTGTAAAGCCACTCCAATAATATTTTGGTGGTGTGCTTTGGGTTATTGTCCTGTTGGAAGATGAACCGTTGCCCCAGTCTGAGGTCAAGAGCACTCTCCATAGAAGAATGCTGGAGCTCAGACAGAGTGACCATTGGATTATTGATCTACTTCCTGGATAAGTTGGCGGTTCATTCCGCTGTGGCGACCCCAGATTAATAAAGGGACTAAGCCGACAAGAAAATGAATGAATGAATGAATAAATTTGCTAAATTTCAAAAACTCTTTTTTCCACATTGTCATTATGGAGTATTGTGTGTACAGTTTTTAAGGAAATAAATTAATTGAATCCATTTTGAAATAAGATTAACATAAAAAAATGTGGAAAAAGTGAAGCAATATGAATACTTACTGGATGCACTATAAGTAAGATTTCTGCTGTACACTGATTTGCATACTAAATTACACACTTTCCTCATGTAGTACACCATCTCATTATATAGATTTATAGAGAAGGGTATATACAGAGGTCAGAGCCAGCTAAAAGTGGCTGGGACTTGAGCTGCAAGTGGGCTGAACAAAACTGGAGATTATTTCTTTATTGTCTTATATGTGACACTGAGTCCAATATTGTGCTTTATGGACGTCTACACCTACCCCAACCCTAAACCCAACCTCACATTAACCTGCTGTCTTTTAATAATGTCTACACCTACCCCAACCCTAAACCCAACCTCACATTAACCTGCTGTCTTTTAATAATTTCTACACCTACCCCAACCCTAAACCCAACCTCACGTTAACCTGCTGTATTTTAATAATGTCTACACCTACCCCAACCCTAAACCCAACCTCACATTAACCTGCTGTCTTTTAATAATGTCTGCACCTACCCTAAGTCTAAACCCAACCTCACATTAACCTGCTGTCTTTTATTAACGTCTACACCTACCCCAACTTTAAACCCAACCTCACAATAACCTGATGTGTTTTATTAATGTCTACATACACCAACCCTAAACTCAGCCTACCTGCAGCACATGTCCCTTCCACTTGAAGGTCACCCGACCGACTTGCGGTGTAATACTGTACCTCCGACTTGGAGGTCTCCGGCCTGCAGCTATACCTACCTGGATGTATAAGACCTTTTCTTTTTCACAATGCAAACGCAAATATTTCTGCTCTGTAGTTTAATTCAGGTGTTATTTTACTTTACCTTAAAAGTGATTACAGTTTTTTACAATTGCTATGACACTTTTATCAATACATTTAACAAGTTTCCTAAACTCTTAACACAGTTAGCACAACATCCGTCTTCGTGGGCTATACAATTAACACATTTCTTGTTGTTAACACAAATTTAAAATGCTTGAACTTCTTTTACACACAAGCACAACCAAGAACAAAACAATGTAATTTTATAGTCAAATTTACAAATGCTTTAACACAGTATGTCAGAACAGATAACACCATGTTCTAAACAGAAATTATATAGGATAAAGTCAAAGTGAACAGCTGTTCTAATTGTGAATTGAAACACAAATATATTCCCTGTATTTTATTCAATTGCCAATGAGAAACAGCATATTGCGGTTATATAAATAAATAAATAAATAAATAAATAAATAAATATATATATATATATATATATATATATATATATATATATATATATATATATATATATATATATATATAGATATAGATATAGATATATATATAGATATAGATACATATGACAGCTGATTCCCATCTAGAAAGCACACTCATGTCTTGTTTTGGTTTTTCCAATCACATGATCATATGTTCTAATAGAGGACTCTTGAGGTTTTTGAAAGGAACATCAAAGAATTCTGTCACCAATACGTCCGTGTAAGATTATGCGTTACAGTCATTACTGTACTATACACAGTGTGTTTTGCAGTAAACTACTCTTTAAACCTGGAGTTCATTAGTACATACAGTACATATACAGTACAGCATTTGCATACACTGTGTCTAATTACTTTCAGAGAATCATGAAGTTAGAGGCCAATCAAGTACCACATGAAATTTTCAATGTTGACAAGGCTGGGGATGTCGCCGTAGGAAAAACATAATAGGCCAAAGGGCCACAGTTACTGTGCCGGGCCACAGAAGATATCAAGTATAATGTGGATGAGAACATGTGGCAAAAGACCAGGCAGAATAGAAGATTACTTTGTTATTTTACTATAATAGTGGTGCTTTTTCTGTTTGCAGTGATGTCCTTCTGCAAAAAAAGTCTGTACTGCAGAAATTCTGTGTCTGTATTTTTTTTTTTACATAAACTGTAAATTTTATAAAGCATTTTTTTCTTCGTTTTGTATAGAAATTTTGCCGTAAACGAAAGAAAATGCATGCATTTACTTAACCCAACGAAACAAAACTGTAACGAGACTTCAAATATAAGGGCAGAGCTGACACATAAACTAATGGAGTTTCTGTAATGTCAGCTGATGATAGTGTTTTTATTGTCAGTGTGTTCTGATTGACTGAATGTTTATGTTGGAAGAGAACATGTGTTTGTGTTTTGAACAATAATGTCATTTTGAAACATGATTGCAGTGTTTTGTTAGACATGGTGTAGTGTGTTCGTTTATTATTGTATTTTGAAAAGAAGTTTAGAGGTTTAGTTTATAATGTGTGATTTTGAGCATAAAATTAACTGTTTTGCAAATTGTGTATTTTAGGTGTGTTGCTGTGTTAAGAGTTTAGCAAACTTGTTAAATGTATTGAAAAAAGTGTCATAGCCATTGTAAAAAACTGTAAATCACTTTGGCTGGCATGGGTTAAATCATTGATCAGTCAATTTTATATGGCCTTTATGTGATATTTTGCTTGTATTGTGTTGACTTTAGGAACCAATATATTGTAAAAAAAAACACTAAGCCTACATGGGATGGCATGAGACCATTATGAAAAACTTGTTTCTTCATGATTTTACTTATATACATTTACTCTGCTCTATTCATCGTCAGGTATCTAAAAGTATGTTTTTTTTCAGGTGTTTGATGTAGGTGAGAGTCGCTCGATACCTATTGAGTTGACGCAGGAGGAGACTGACCTGTCTGTCTGGGGGAACTTTATTTTGGCCGCAGGCTTGGCAGATGCTGTGTCTAGAACTGTGACGGCACCAATCGATCTTTTAAAGACACGACTTCAGGTTAATTTATTCTCCCTGACACTTGTTGTTACACTCAATAAAATGTATTTGATTTAATGATAAAAGGACATAAAATGACAAGATAACTCTAGGCAAGATGCAACCCCGAATCAAAAAAAGTTGAGATAGTATGGAAGACGCAAATAAAAAAAGAAAGGGATTTCTAAATTTACTTTTACTTGTATTTCATTGCAGACAATACAACAAACATCATTTAAATGTTCATCATGATTTTTAGTTTATTTTTTAAATAAACACGCTCAATTTTGGTTCTTGCAACATTTAAAAAGGCTGGAAAAGTAAAGCATTTACCACATTTAGGGACTGAAGACACCAAGTAATTGAAGTGTTTCAGGTGTAATTTTTTCCCATTCTTCCTGCAAACAAGTCTTAAGGTGGGCAACAGTAAGGGGTCTTCGTTGTCGCATTTAACACTTCAAAATGTGCCTCATATTCTCTATTGGAGACAGGTCAGGGCTGCAGGCAGGCCAGTCAATTACCTGTATCCACCTCCTCTGCAGCCAGGACTTTGTAATGTGTGCAGAATGTGGTTTTGCATTGCTTTGTTGAAATATGCATGGGTGTCCCTGGAAAAGAAGGCAGCATATTGTGCTTCAAAATCTCTATGCACTATTCAGCATTAATGGTGCCACCACGGAAGTGCAAGTTACATTTGCCTAGGGCATTGACACAAACCTTTACCATGACCGACCCTGGCTTTTGGAAATGTCGCTGGTAATAGTCTGGATGATCCTTTTCTTCTTTGGTCGAGAGCACACGGCATCCATTTCTCCCCAAAAAATACCTGAAATGCTGATTTACCTGACCACAGTGTCCACTATGTGATGGTCCATCCCAGATGCCTTTTAACCCAGACAAATCTACAGCGCTTCTGGACACAGTTAACATAAGGCTTCTTTTTGGCACAGTACAGTTTTAACTGGCATTTGTGGATGTAACAACCAGTATTTCATTAGTTTTTGTAACTAATTCCAGTATTTTAGGCTTTCGATCTTGTCCTTTACACACTGAAATTCCTCCAGATTCCTTTAATCTGTTATTCAGTGTTGATGGTGAAACATCCAAAGGTCTTCCTTTCTTTCTTTGAGGAACATTGTTTTTAAACATTTTAATATTTTTTTTCACATATTTGTTGGTCAACTGGCAATCCTCTGCCCATCTTTGGTCCTAATGGACTAGACCTTTCTTGGATGCTGCTTATTTACCAATTCACAATTACAATTACCTGTTAATATCACCTGTTTCAAATCACATAATTATTTCAGCCTAAATTTCTTCTGTCCCAACTTTTTGGAATGACTGGTCTGAATGACAGGAAGGGATGTATATTTACAAATGAAATGAAGTTGACCAGACAAAACATCAAATTCATCAAAATGAAATCAAAACATCAAAGTGTCATATTGTCTGTAATGAAATACAAATCAAAGTAAATTTGGAAATCACTACTTTCTTTTTTTTTTTTTTTTTTTTTTGCGTTTTACATGCTGTCCCAATTTTTTTTATGATTTGGGGTTGTATAAAATATAGTCAACAATTAATAAAGCAAGATTTATATTTCTTATTTGATTTTGTTGACATAGAATCATAGTAATTTTACAAATGGAATTTTGCTAATCTATTTGTATTACTCCATAAATCAGAAAATATTATCACTATCCAAAAAACCTTATTTTCATATGTTAGGGGAAAATAAAAATCATAGCCTACATACAGCACAAACCCCTGTAAAGCAAAAATATTGACAAATAAAACTGCAGTGTTTGGTAGAGATTTTTGTATGTATTTTAAAGTGAATTTGATTTATAATTAGTTGTATTAGTTAATTTTAAATATATTTATTATAACTGAAATTTGCAGATACAAACCCTCTTGCAATAATAATAATAATAATAATAATAATAATAATAATAAAAAAACATTTAAACGTTTTTTTTTTTTTAAATATATTTACATAGCTCTTTTCGGAATTAAATTATGTTAAAAATATGAGACCAAATATTGCCTAGTTTTTTTTTTTTAACGTTTTCTGGTAAATTCGAATGAAATTTTAGTGTTAATGTAATTTAAAATAAACCTACAACAAATGATTTGCATTGTTTGTATTTGGGTTGATTTAGCCAGTTAAGAAAGTTAAGAAGATCATCTAAACCTAAACTTACATAATCATTACACCTTTTAAACCAATATGTGTCAAGAAAGGAGTTGGGGTTTAAAATTGATTTTCATTTCTTTATTATTAACATGACAATATACTGGACAGGTCTTTGGATCTAAAGCTGTGTCTCTAGGATTCCGAGAGCTACAGACTGGAGGCATTAGATCCTTGTGGCAAGGAAATGCTGTGAATGTTCTCAAAGGAACACCACAATCAACGCTTCAGTGCTTCATTTATGCCCAGGTATGCTCACAAAACTGCACATACATTTTCTTTTTGTGCACAGATGTTCAAACGTTCTTTTTTTTTTTTGTCACTTTGTAAACAGCTGAGGATGTACAGTCTTGGTGAGAGGGACAATCTGTCGGTCTATCAAAGGTTTGGACTAGGCTGTGTGTCTGGGGCTGTGGCACATGCTGTGTTCTACCCACTAGAGGTATCACAGTGACATAACAGGTTGGAGTTCCTTACAGTTAGGTGTTGTCTGTTCCAATGCAATCTCACAACAATTCTTAACTTTTTGATTCATTTTGATCTCATTTGTACATTATTCCCTTATGTAAGAGTTGAATAATAAATAAATGATGTATATGTAAATATGAACTCAATAATGAGAAGAAACAGCCCACTGTGAGATGTAGTGACATTGTGAGATATTTAAACAATGTAACAATTGTATTTTATGAGAAACTATGGTTGCATTTAGTAATAAAACCAATTCATACATTCCTTTTTTCCTTCACATTATTGTAATAATTACAACAGTAATGAAATGTTGTAGTCAGCTTTTAAAATGTTGTTATTACAACAGACCCAATTCAGTTTATGTGGGTTTACTGTATATTGACATCTAAGTTGATGGACTTATTCTTTTAATGGCAGGTGCTAAAAGTTAGACTCAATCTCCAACCTGCTGGAACCTACAGTGGAGTTTTGGGATGTGCCAAGTTGATTTACCAGAGTGAGTCTGTGGCGGCTTTTTATAGAGGCTTCAAACCCAGCATACTCTGCATGATTCCATATGCTGGAGTGGAATGTGCAGTGCATCAAGTAAGATCTGAGTATTCCATCAACACACAAGCCTTAAAACTGCTTCAACTTTAACGTATCGTGGCTACAAACTGGTTCACTAAAACATTTCGTCACCTAGAATTATAAGGTTCTATCTGCGTTCTGAATGATTTTGAGATATTGAGCTTCAAAGTTTTTGCATTCTATATAGCAAACAATGTGTGTAACAGTTCTCTTTCATACATTAGCATGACAGAGACCCTAAGGGCTCTCTAAATGTAAATGATCAAACTTCTCTGACATTTGCAAATTGGAGTAAATAAACCATGATACATGCAGATAGAACCTCATTCTGAAAAGTAATTTTCCACTTGGAATTATAAGGTTCTATCTGGCAGATTATTCATTGAAGCATTACTTATCAAGAAATATAATAAATAAATAAATAGTTTAGTGTTGTAACAATATGTTGATGCTTGAGAAAGTAAAAATTTAGCTTTCTGTAACATTTAATTAATGTTTTAGTATGAATATTTTTTCTTTTAAAATTAAGCATGCAAGGCTGTGCTAAATATTTTTCCAGTGCAGCTGTTAATTTTATCTAATTAATATGTTCATATTTATAAAATTTTATGCTTAAAATAAATTATTGAATTATATTTATTGAATTATATGCCCCATGAAATAAATTAATAATTTGCCCTTCAAGGCCTCATTTTAAACTTATAGACTTTAAAAGAAACAGACAATGAGCAAATGAGTTTAATAAACACTGAAAAGTGTTTCACTGACTATCTGTACACAAATAAAAATATTTCACATATTTAATATACACATTTTTAAATATCAATTTCTTTTTCAACAATCTAAAACTGAGCATTTCTTCTCAATGTTTGCGACGCGGTGGCGCAGTGGGTAGCACAATTGCCTCACAGCAAGAAGGTTGCTGGTTCAACCATTGGCTGGTTCAGTTGGCATTTCTGTATAGAGTTTGCATGTTCTCCCTGTGTTTGCGTGGGTTTCCTCTGGGTGCTCTGGTTTCCCCCGCAAGTCCAAAGACATGCGGTACAGGTGAATTGGGTAAGCTAAAATTGGCCATAGTGTATGTGTGTGAGTGTGTATGGGTGTTTCCCAGTGTTGGGTTGCAGCTGGAAGGGCATCCGCTGTGTAAAACATTCGCTGGATAAGTTGGCGGTTAATTCCGCTGTGGCGACCCCAAATTAATAAAGGGACTAAGTCGAAAAGAAAATGAATGAATGAATCTCAGTGTCAAGAAATGCTTCTAAATCATCACATTTACACACATTTCAATTTTGTGTGGTGTGGCATTATTTAATTGACTCTGATTTTGTGTGAATTTCTTCTTCTGGTGTTTCCTGCTGTCAATGGAGCAGTCCGGCGAAATGACAATGAAAACGGATCCTGATTGGTCCTCGTGCGTGCATTAAAAATGCTGATTGGCTCACACATAGAACCTTATAGAGCCAAGCTAGAGTTCAACTTTGTAGATACATCTTTTTTTGTTTTTTTAAATAAAAAGCCTTAAAATGTAAACAACTTATAAAATCACATGCCATAATGTAAATAAGTGGTCATTTAAAAAGAATATGTGAATAACTCGATTTTGACAAAAATGTCAGATAGAACCTTATAAATTCTAAGGTGACGATTTATGACATTCTATGCGAAATACTCCAAAGAAAAATAAAAAATTTAATTACAACACATAGACATGCTTATTTTAGCTCCATTTAAAATCATTTATAAACTTTCATTGATCTTTAGCAATTGTACATTCAATTTAAATATACAATCATTTAACAATAAACCAATGTACATAAAGCAAAGTTATTCTAAAAACCTACAATCATTTATTAACATAAGCCTTTCTTTTCTTGTGGCAGTCAATAATGAGCTGGGTTAAGCAAGATCCAGAAGACTTTGGTGACTCCAAGCTTTTCCTCTTTAGTTTCGCGGCATTTGCATCAGGACAGGCTACCAGCTACCCACTCGCTGTCATCAGAACTCAACAGCAAGCTCAGGGTAAATTCTAACCCGAACAGATAAACTGACTTTACATGCTGTCTGAGAATATAACACGGCTGCTGCAAACATAACACAGATAAACCCCAAACAAAGCTAAAGAAAATAAAAACAAACCAATATGTGATTTAGAAGTGTGGAACATTCACAAAATGGGTTTGTAATAGTTATAATAGTTGTAATTGTAACGAAGTGGCTGACACAGAGGGATCCATTTGCAGTATTTTTATTAAACGAAGTTTAACAAACAATAGCACACAGATGTTGTGCGTGCACAAACTCACATCAAACACAATAGTATGTAGTCTTTGGGCTGGCGGCAGGTAAACACGGGATGAGTATGCAGGCATGGGTCAGAGGCAGGCGGCTAGTATCAGAGTCGGTAAGCAGGCTAGAGTTCAACGGCAGGCGGCTAGGATCAAAGTCAGGATTCAGGCTGAAGTACAAGGCAGGCGGCAGGCTAGATTGGGTCAGTAAACGAAGCAGGATCATAACGGGGAAGCAGGCAAGGATGAGAACGCTCAGTAGTGTTAGCCGGGGCAGAACAAGACTTCGCAATGAAGCAGCGTGTGTGTGTGTGTGTGTGCTGCTTATATGTGTGTGGGGGATGATTGCTGGATGCGTGTCAGGTGTGTCTACTATCAGTGTAAATGGATGACGTAATGTCAATAGTGATGATGACCTCTGCTGGCCAGCGAGGGGAATGACTGGGACCGAGTCGGTGACAGTAATAGTGTAATAGTGTAATGGTTTGGTTTGCAATACGGTTCTGTGGTCATGGTTTTCGGTTTCTATTTGATTTACATTCTAAAAAAAATCTTCTATTGTAATATTACAAATACCATATGTCAGCCGTTAAATCCCTATTGTTTTAAAAACTGTTGCACTAGCAAACATGAATATTATGCGCAAGAAATTATTCATTCAAATGAATTAGATAAATACCCCGAAATCAAGAAGAACTATCACCAAGACATATGTTGTCTATTTCTTTGTTTATTTTTATGTAGCATTGAGACATATGGTCAAACATACTGTCAATGTGTGCCTGGGCTACCTACTTTCTATGTGTACCTGGGCTACCTTGCCTAATGGCTTAACACTTTTATTTGAATATCTGATTGCATATATTTATTTGCATATTAATTGCAAATACAGATTTTAATTTGCATATCTGTTGTGCTAAAAAGCCTATAGTGTAGAAAATTGTCATTCTTGTTCATTTAATTTGACCAAATTAGTCTCAAAGTCTACACATACATTGGGATACACTTTGTGTTAGGTGCTCCATCTTTGGGTGTTCCTGTTTTAAACATAGACATTGAAGATGGTTGTCTTTTTAATCCAGTTGATCGATTTTTAGCCTTTCAAATCCCAAATTCCCAAAGCCTTAAGGGCTGGTGTGTTTGTTCCATGAAACCCTCAACGGCCAGTGATTTTATAAAGGCTTATGCATTATTTTCATCTCTGTCTTTTGGTTTGGGAATAAATAAGTCAATTTCAATTCAATTTAAATTTAAATTTAATTTATTTCTACCTGTGATGACATGAATAAGGGGTGGTCCACTATGATATCACACTTTTTAAATTACATCTGTAAAATTACAATGCCCAATGTTCAATGCAAAGAGAGAAATGGCCTTTTACAGAGTTAATGTACACTCTCAGAAAAAAGTACATAGTGGTACAAATAATGTTCCTTAAGGAACAGATTTGTACCTTTGTAAAAGTTGTACCTTATATGGTACAGAAAAGACTTCTTGTGATATTGTTCTGTACCTTTTATGGTATTCAAATGAAGGTACACAAATGTTCTCACTGGACAACTCCTTCTTTATTACAGTATATACATTTTCTGATTAATACATTTTCATTATTGATATCTGCACCTTTTGGTGTTTGCCTTCCACTTTGCACGTGAGCTGGCAAAAGTCCTGCATATGCAAAGTGTTCATGCAGACATTTTAGTATTGTAAAACTAATCAAACATTGTGCATATCTCTTTAAAATACTTTTGCATAATTCTATTTCTATTTTAAAATGAAGTAAATTAAAGTACCTTTTAAGTCATTACAAAGGTGTTGTGTGAAAATTGGAGAAAAATGTTTTATATTGCACATGGGAGAATGTATTTCTGTAGCATTTTTTTGTGGAAAGTGTTGTCAAATGTTTAGCAAAAAATAGATGTTTTGATTTATGTTAAAGTATTTTTTTCTGTATTGTAAATGGAAAAGGTGCATTTACACAAAAAGAAACTTAAAAAACATCGTTTAAAAATGTATTTGATGTTTTATGTTTACTGAAAATAAATTGACACATTTTGGATATAGAAAAATGCCTTTAAATAAGGAACAGAATTGACACTGTTAAGGTACAAAGTGTCTTGTCACTGTAGTGGTACCTTCATGGATCAGATTTGGACCTTTGATGAAGGTACAATATTGTATCTGCAGGTTTTAAAAACTATAAGGTACATTTTGGTTTCCCATGGTACAAATCAAATCCGTAAATGTACAAACTGCAATGGTACAAATGTGTTTCTCTGTTTTAAGGTACAATTATGTTCCGTAAAAAGTATACTGCCCCAGTGACAAGGGTTTGTACCTTCTTTGGTACAACATTGTACCATTTTTTTCTGAGAGTGTAGCAAAGCCTACAGTGAGCGCCGTTTGGAGACGAAATACATCCGGGTTGATGATGCCATTAACCCTTCAATTTAAACTCCCCTGTGAATTCACAGTCAAGGGGAAGTGGTCACAAAGGCATTGTTATGTTAGTAGTGGGAATGATGATGAATATTGACATTTTCTCACTTCCATCCAACAAAAATGCTTGCACCACTTAGAAACAGGCACCTGTCTGCAGCGATTCCACCACTTGTTGCTTCCCGACTGAAAGGGTCTTAATAATGCATCCCTGTTGCTTCTGTGGGTTGGATAAATACCAATTTGTTTGGTATCCGCACAAACATGAGTATCTTTACGCCCACTCTATGCAGCATTTATAAATCTTGGTTGCATCAGGTTCTGCCAGTCTCTAGTCAAGACAAGCCGATAACACCAGCAGAGAACTGGAGCATTGGCCTCACTGATGGCCATTTCATTCATTCATTTTCATTTCGGCTTAGTCCCTTTATTAATCTGGGGTTGCCACAGCGGAAGGAACCACCAACTTATCCAGCATATATTTTACGCAGCGGGTGCCTTTCCAGCTGCAACTCATCACTGGGAAACATTCATACACACATTCATTCACACTCATACAATACGGACAATTTAGCATACTCAATTCACCTGTACCGCATGTTTTTTGGACTTGGAACTGGAGCACCTGGAGGAAACCCACGTCAACACGGGGAGAACATGCAAACTCCACACAGAAACATCAACTGACCTAGCCAAGGCTCGAACCAGCAACCTTCTTGCTGTGAGGCAAACGTGCTACCCACTGTGCCACCGTGCAGCCTTGGCCATATATTAAGGGTTATTAATGTCAGCTCAGTATTCAAGGCTGTTAATATTAATGTCAAGTGTTAGTCGAGTTCAAATCTGCTTTGGTTTATATTGTGGTAAGCTTTACTCACATCTCTGGAAAGATATTCCATGAACAGTGTTTTTTTAGAATATAGTAAATAGACATCTTATAGTAATACCGTTACCATTGCCAGTCTGTGAACGCTTCCTACAGTATTTGTGTGTTTCTGAAAAATGTCAAATGTAATTTGACCGATGTTATTTTTTTCTCTCTCCAATTTCAGCTTTCTGTTTGAGCTCACAGAAGCCTGGAGATGTTCTTCAGGGTCTCACTGGTATCTATACGAAATATGGAGTCCGGGGGTTTTATAATGGAATGGGGGCAAGTTTTGTAAGGGCGGTTCCCTGCGCCCTGCTGAATTACAGCCTGACCTCAAAATTCCAGACACTGCTCTCAACAGTGTCATAATAATCAGTCAGGATCAGCGATGATATCAAGAACCGTGTGTATATTTATAATAATAAATGTTTTTTTAATAATATGTTTATGCTCATTTTAAATATGTTGGATCACATACATTCTTGTTTTACATGTTTTCATGTGAGTATGGTTGCACTTTATTTTATCTTTTACAGTTTTTATGATGCCAGTACCAGGGGTTTTACAGTTTACAACCATAGGGTTTTTGTCATGAATATTAATCATTACCAACCTTTCTGAAAAAATAACAATATCTAATACAGCAAAAAGCATTCCTTTAATTTATTTTCCATATAATTCATTAATTGTATCTTTTTTTTGTCATCCAATTTTTTTTCAAATGCATTCAAACTACAATCAAGGTTGTCATTGTTATGATAGTCCCATATATGGAGCATATGTTAAACAATAGGATTAATAAATGGATTTGTGTTACCTAATAATTTGTCCAGCTTCGATTTATAATGATCAATAAACTTATTGTAAAACATTTGCATGACTTTCATAGAGTTCATAATGTGCTTCCTTTGATTTATTTATCCAATTTTCCCTTGAAGAAAGATTCTGTGGCAATTTTTTTCCTTTCACTTCAACCTTGATATGGTAACCTTTAACAATTTCTGACTTTATTGTTACTTTATTGTTATTCTGACTTTAACATCTAGCATCAAGGTACGAAGAAATTTAAGGCCTTAAATTCAAAGGGTAATTTTTTTAAAGTCTATTTTAAAATACTCAACTCAAAAAATATCCCACAGTTTGATAATTACATATCAAAAAATAACAGGGCAGAGTCTGAGACAACAGCTACATTTTTAATCAATGGTTTTACATTGGCAGCAAAACTAACCAGCACTTTTGCCCAATACATTTGCCTCAGCCAGGGGTTCATTTTAATTTTTAGACTTTTTTAGGCACCTTAATTTCTGACCAAAAGCAGTTAAAGCATAGACCAGCACTGTCATTTTGCTTTATGGGCACATCATTTTAGTGTCATCAGCATAAAATTGAAAAAGTAATCTGCGAGTCCAAAGCGAACATTTATTCTAAAATGCGGAGATGAAGCGGTTTTCGCAATTGTTTTGGAACTTCCGATTCAGTCACCTATGAGAGAAATGACTAGGAATATTTAACGGCAGAAAATGGTCAAACTACTTGCTCTACAAACAAATGTTTGCATGACTATACAGACCAAGTAGAATAATATAATAAGAAAATATCAGTTTGCAACATCAAACAGCAAAACGAGCAGTTTTTAATGTCTAATAATTAAAATAATTCAAATGGGCGCGCCCGCTTGTCGGCGAAGAATAAGGTGAATACTGACCAAGGAAAACAAAATGGTGGCAAAACAGATCATTTGGGGAACCCCACATTTTAGATGTGCTTTAGAGGATAAACATCTTTTTACATAAACTGAAAAGTTTCTAGGTGAAGCAGTGGCGCAGTAATTGCTGTCGCCTCACAGCAAGAAGATCGCTGGGTCGCTGGTTCAGGCCTCGGCTCAATTGGCGATTCTGTGGGGAGTTTGCATGTTCTCCCTGCGTTCGAGTGGGTTTCCTCTGGGTCCTCCGGTTTCCCCCAAAGTCCAAAGACATGCGGTACAGGTGAATTGGGTTGGCTAAATTTTCCGTAGTGTATGAGTGTGTGTGTGAATGTGTGTGTGTGTTTCCCAGAGATGGGTTGTGGCTGGAAGGGCATCCGCTGCGTAAAAACTTGCTGGATAAGTTGGTGGTTCATTCCACTGTGGCGACCCCGGATTAATAAAGGGACTAAGCCGACAAGAAAATGAATGAATGAATGAATGAATGAATGAATGAATGAATGAAAAGTTTCTATTTTTCAATAAAATTTGAATCAGCAAAGTGCATGACTGGTAGTGGCTGATAAAAAGAGGGTGAAAATGGCGATAAAACAGGAATATTAAAGTGTAAATTCCACCAATAAAAGAAGAGATATGAAAAAAATCTAACGAATAATATCTAGATAAGGAATAAAATGGCAGAAAATGTGGAATTGGGCAATAAACAAAAAAAAAAAAAAAATGGAATAAACAAAGGGGAGGGATTGACAATATCCAAAAACAAATTGGCAAAGGAAGTAAATGTTTTAACAGAATGAAGATACAAATATTGCAGGACCACCTGAAGTAGATACAACAGCATGCAGAACTACCTGAAGTAGATACAACTGAGCATGCAAAACTAGGCTACCTGAAGTAGATACAACTGAGCATGCAGAACTACAATTTGCTCAATAAATAGTTATTTTCTTTCTTTCTCATGCTTCAAAATCCAGTCCAGCGGGTGGCGGTAACACACTTTATGCTGGCTTGTCAACTGATGAACCCGTTTCAGAAGTAGAAGAAGCCGCAGTTCGGTTACGTGGCTTTGACGTGGCCATAGTGATGTCGACAAGTTGACACTTCACAAACATGGCGTCTCAGCAAAGCGAAGTGGATGAGCTGTTCGATGTGAAAAACGCGTTTTACATAGGCAGTTATCAACACTGCATTAACGAAGCTCAGAAAGTAAAGGTGAGCGTGCTGCAAATAAATATTCTCTATGACACGGAAACATTTCTTGCTGTAGTGTTTTTAGGATTGACAGTGTTTTGTTAGCTAACGTTAGCGGCTAAGTAATTCAAAGTGGCTATATTCAGTGCTTAACTTTAAATATTTGAACACGCCTGCGATTAGCAAAACGTGACAAACAGCCACATGTAATTGTTTCACATTTCTTTCAGACTTCAGGGCCAGAAAAGGAATCGGAGAAGAACATTTTCCTTTACAGAGCTTATATTGCCCAGGTAAGTTCTGATCGTCAGGGTTGCTTTGATATTGTTTTGATGGCATTCACAGCATATATATATAACAATACAATACTAACAATACTAACACATATACATACATATATACACACACACACACACACACACACACACATATATATATATATATATATATATATATATATATATATATATATATATATATATATATATATATGTGTGTGTGTGTATATATATATATATATATATATATATATATGTGTGTGTGTGTGTGTGTGTGTGTGTGTGTGTGTGTGTGTGTGTGTGTATATATATATATATATATATATATATATATATATATATATATATATATATATATATATATATATGTGTGTGTGTGTGTGTGTGTGTGTGTGTGTGTGTGTGTGTGTGTGTATATATGTATGTATATGTGTTAGTATTGTTTATTTCTATCAAGAACACAGTTTCATTTTTGGTGTTTTATCAATGGTAAAATGCTGTTTAATATTTTTTTGCTAATTAGTCTAAGATTCTATGAAATAACGTACTGTCTCTTTAAAAGCTGAAAGAATATTAAATTATTCAAGCTAAAAAATACACCACAATACACTAAGTGGCATATCAAGATTCACAAATATATTGATTAGGCTTGGGCTGGTATAAGTTTCTGACGGTATGATAAACTTGGATAAAATATTACAGTTTCATGGTTCACGTTACTGTGATTACTGCTCTAAAATAAGTTCTTTTGAAATGTCTGGGTAAAACAAAATACAAACAAAACTTTTTTTCCCCATTGAACACAATTTATTATATTTTAAGAAACATTTAAAATATTTTGTAACATTAAACATGTCGGGCTAAATAATTAAAATGACTCATTGACTTCTGCTGTAGTTATAAAAATACAGATTTTAACACACAAAAAATACATTAAAAACATTTCTTATTCCTTGGAAATAATGTAACAGAACATTTTAGCGGTAAACCTTGAAACCAGTTATCGTCCCATGCCTAATATTGATAATACAAAATGCTTTTTTGAACATCTGATTAGAATAATAAAGTGAATTCTGAAGAATCGTGACACTGAACACTAATGTCTGCTAAAAATGTCATATCGCAGAAATAAAAATGTATATTTATAAATAAAAGATAACAATTTAAAATCCTTTAAAACAGAAATATTAATGTTTTAATGTAGTTTTGAATGTGCGGACATTTTTTGCTATTACTGCTGAGAATTTTGTGAAAAATCTGCAGATTTATGCCGAATAATTTTAGGAGTATTATAATAAAAAATGTTATATATGAAGTAATAAATAATACATTTTTAACTTTATTTACAGTTTACAATCCAAATTCAATTAGATTCACTTATTTGGTAAACAAAGCAAGTATATTATATAAAATATCTACTGAAAGACAGAAAATTCGAATTTACAAACTGTATTGTAAATAAATCATATGAACATTTTAATATTACTATTTTTATATCACAATAAAATTTGTGAAATTAATGAACTGAAAAAATATAAACTTACACACATTTACTCAACTAAATACATAGACTCATTGATGCGCTAAAAATGTGCTGAAATCTGTGGATTTCTGTGTGCGCAGATTTTGTGTGGGCCTAGTTATTATTACTAAGCCATACTTGCATGCTATTTCAGAGCGAATATTCAAAGTAATATGGTATAAAATATAGGGAGCACGTCACAGGTTGGCATTGTTTAAAAATGAACCAATGTGAATATAAAACCAATTTCACCTCAGTAAAGCAGTCTAGACAGAGTAGCGCTATTTACTGATGCTTTGTTTTTAAAATAAATAAAAGTCTACGTTATCGATGCTGTAAAACATACCATATGAAATTGAAAATAGTCACATTAATCTTTCGCGCAAACTGTGGGTCTGTCTGCGTGAACGGGTGCACAGATGTAAAAATCTGCATTTGTTGACAGACAGTTTGAGTTACTTATCAGAGTTATGGTAATTATCGGCCCGACAATATTTAATTAGATGAACATTTTTTAGTCTTTTGCCTCACCCAGAATATAAAACAAGCTTACAGTTGAACTTAGAATTATTAGCCCCCCTGTTTATTTTTTTCCCCCAATTTCTGTTTAACGGAGAAGATTTTTTCAACATATTTCTAAACGTAATAGTTTTAATAGCTCATCTCTAAAAACTGATTTATTTTATCTTTGCCACGATGACAGTAAATAATATTTGACTTGATATTTTTAAGACACTTCTATACAGCTTAAAGTGACATTTAAAGGCTTAACTAGGTTAACTAGGCAGGTTAGGGTAAAAAGGCAAGTTAATGTATAATGATGGTTTGTTCTGTAGACTATGGGAAAAAAATAGCTTTAAGGGGCCCATAATTTTACCCCTAAAATGGCTTTTAAAAAATTAAAAACTGCATTTATTCTAGCCGAAATAAAACAAAAGACTTTCTTCAGAAAAAAAAATATTATCAGACACACTGTGAAAAATTCATTGCTCTGTTAAACATAATTTAGTAAATATTTTAAAAAGAAAATTCAAAGGGGGACCTAATAATTCAACTGTATAAATGCATTTAGATAATTTATTTTAATCCTTACTATTGGAAAGTGAAGGGTCTTTCAACTAGCACAACAAAAAATGTTTCTTAAGGCAATCACCTACTGCACCTATTAACTCTTTTAAAACTTCTAACTGGTACCCCAGACTAGTTTGCGAATGAAAATCAATAATTTAATGTTAATAAAGAGAATTTTTGTTGTTTTTTCAGAGGAAGTATGGTGTGGTACTGGATGACATAAAGCCCAGTTCTACTGAGGAGCTGCAGGCTGTCCGAATGTTTGCCGAGTACCTGTCCAGTGAGGGGAAGAGGTTTGTACAATTAAGCTGTCATGTTTGTGATTAATTATTTTAAATTAGGGCTGAACAATATATCGTTTGAGCATTGATATCGCAATGTGTGAATTTGCAATAGTCACATCACAGGATTAGATTATTTAACAAAGATTAAAAATTATTATAAAATATAACATAATATTATTTATTGAGTGTTGACTATGAAATTTTACATTTGATTGTTCAATTTCTACTATGGTTGTCTGGGCTTTCTAAAGCACTGTTGATTAATTTATTTTTCCTTGTATTTTATTATAATTTATGCACATGCACTGTATAGTCCCTGTTGATCTCAATAAATGAAATCTTTCCAAATAAAACTAACTATATGCATTCATATTGCAATTCACATACACATCAAAAGAAGTTCGCACTGTCAAATTTTTCCAATATCGGGCAGCCCTATTTTAGATTATGAACAGATTAAACATAAGGCTGCACAATATATTGTTTCAGCATCAACATATACTCATTACAGCATGTGCGATAGAGTCAGGATTATCATTGAGTAATCCTAAACTTTAACCGTAACAGACTGAAAGTTGATCAGTTGTATGTGTGAGCATTTCAAGCATTCAGTCACACGAAAAAACATTTTGTAGCTTTATCAAAAATGAAATGTATTTGTTTATATGATAAACTGTAGTGTTATTTTACGTTTAGGTCCGGTGTCCTGCAGATTTTAGCTCCAACCTTAATCAAACACACCTAAACAAGCTAATCAAGGTCTTACTAGGTATACTTGAAACACCCAGGCAGGTGTGTTGAGGCAAGTTGGAGCTAAACCCTGCAGGGCACCAGACCTCCAGGAACGAGTTTGGTGACCCCTGCTCTATTGTATTTTTCTGTGCTTGTAATTGGTTTATTACATTTTCTGCAGATGCACTGCTCGACAAAGTGATCCCAAACAATCTAAAAGTTTGATTTCTTTCCACATCTTATTATAAATAGCTGAATTGCGATGAAAAACTCAATTGCGATGTTAGTTTATTCCAATATTGTGCAACCCTGCTTAAAACCTAAATGTATGCAGTCAAAATGAATTTAGCAGTTTGTTCTGATGGCGCAATGCTTTTCTTAGGGATGCAATAGTAGCAGACCTGGATAAAAAGATATCTAAGAGTGTCGATGTTTCCAACACCACCTTCCTGCTGATGGCGGCTTCCATCTACTTGCATGAAATGAACACAGATGCGGCATTACGTACTCTGCATCAGGGAGAGAGTCTGGAGTGGTGAGTCCAGCCTGTCAAACAGACAATTATTCAAATATTGTTTAGATAATCTCAAATTAAGTTGAATTACTAATCTCTATATTGGTTGTTTTGTATTTTTCTTATAGCATGGCCATGACTGTCCAGATTCTACTAAAGTTGGACAGAGTTGATATGGCAAGGTGATTTTTATTTGATATTTAGCTTTGTGTGTTTTTCTTATGCATCGAGTGCCTTTGCATGGTCAGCTAAAAGTACAGAATGAACCAACTGCTGACACTTTCTTGTATCCTATAGGTTATATATACTGTATTCATTTTGAGAAAATTGTAAAAATATATTAAAAAATATTTCAATAAAAAATAAAGTTTAGTAATCTACACTCAGAAATAGAGATACAAAACCATCACAGAAGTGGTCCTCATGGGCTTTCAAGAAAATATTTATTAGTGACTAAGTAGACATATAGACTAATTTTCTAAGATAACAATATGGACTTTTAGATACAAAAGTGTACTTTAATTCCTCGTTTACACTGAGTGGTACAGTACGGTTCGGTACGGGTCATCAGGCTTGGGCCTCCTTGGCCAAATGGTACTGATGGAACCCTTTGGTGCTCTACAGACAGCTGCAGTCGACGTCATTGTCACTTGAACTTCTCATATCGTATGAGAAGCACTTTTTACTAACTTAAACAAATGCTTTATATACATAAATACTTATGTAAAAATGTTAATTGCTAACCTTTTTTATAAACAGGATTTGAATATAGCTGCAGATCAATGAAAATGCGAAGCAGCATACTGTAACATCTGCCATTATATATATATATATATATATATATATATATATATATATATATATATATATATATATATATATATATATATATATATATAAAATAAAACATTTATGAACACATTTCATCACACATTTCACACTTGCAGTCTCTGAAATGTTAACAATAACAAAAAAAAAACATGAAACATACATTTAGGCCTTTTTTTGGTTTATAAACGATACAAAACATATACAGGAAGGTCAGTACAAATCTTTATTCTTCACCAGCACATGTAAGGTTTATATTTAGTTAAGAAATAATTCCGTCATTCCGAGTTCATAATAGTCCAAAAGTTTCTCTGTAAACCAATAGTGTTCAGCTGAGCGTCAACCTCCTTTTGGTACCCTTTTGTTGTGCTAGGTACCCTTTGAAAAGGATACCCAAAAAGTGCTACAGTACAGTTTGCTTTTTGGTAGCTTTTGATTGTGGAAACGGACATAAAAGCATACCATACCGTACGTCTCAATGAAAACAGGTGATTAAAAGGTGCCAACCCAGCTCTTGTACCATTTCTCAGAGCATATGATAATAGACATGGCCAATATATATATATATTTATTTATTTATTTATTTATTTTTTTTTTATAATAATTTATGGGTGTCATGCACAGATTTTAATAGCTACTGTATGTGCCAGTGATTTGGTGCTTCACAAAATTGCAGCCATATTTAAACTGTTCACAGTGGGTTTTATGTAATTTTGTTCACATGGATAATAAAGATTAATCATATGACGTCATCATACTGCTGTGCCATCTGCCAATCGTTGCATTGCTGATCATGATTCGAGTGATCTTAGATCCGTTCATTCCGACATTTTAGTCGATTCTTGAACTTGTTTGAAGAACCAAATTAGCCAAAGATCATTTATCAAGCTTACAAGATCCAGGGTCTGCCAGATCATATGAGAACTAAGATTGTTTAAGTGTGGTACAAAGAACAGAGCCCTGATTTGCACCTTAAAAAAAAAAATTCACTACATATTGTGATTATGCATAGAACTAGATCTGTGATTGGTCTGCTTGGTAAAGGTAAGAAATTTAGGCGGAGCCAAGAGCTGTGGAAATGTTTAACCAGTTCTGTAAAAGACCTCTAGATAAATGCTTTTGTTTTGTGTTTGTTTTATGATTAGATTTGTTGAAAATCTCTCTGTTCCCATCTCTTTCTTTTTTGAATGAGAGTTTGAGCTATATCTACAGTAGCATCACGCACATTCACAGTGTAAACTCAAAACATTAGTAAAGAAATTTGACGCATTGGAATCTAGAAACACCACTGCTTACTAGCATTTTGGAAATGTAATTGCAGAGCAACACAGACAGGACACACAAGTATAAATCAGGGTTTAGTGTTATCACAATTCCAAAATGATGACTTTGATATGATAACTTATTAATATGTTCTAATACTATAATCAAATAAGTACCTAAAAAAACTAAAACGATGTTTAGTTATTTTTTTTTTATCTATCCCTATTGTTTTAAAGAACCAGTATTAATAAATATGAGGAATCATAGCATTTTTAACAGTGAGGTATTGTGATGCTTTTCTAGTGATAAGCTTTCGGGGATTCGGGATATCCTGTAACATGAGTTTTTGTGTGAACATTTCATATGTATTATAAAGATTACCTTTTAATTATTAATTGACAACACATTTTGGAGTTTAATTTCTCACTTACACCTGCAAGAACGTACACTTGTCTTCAGTCAATTGCCTTTAAGTTTGTTTTCTTCTGTTGTGTATCTGCTCTTTACAGAAAAGAGCTAAAGAAGATGCAAGACCAAGATGAAGATGCTACTTTGACTCAACTCGCTACAGCCTGGGTCAACCTTGCGATTGTGAGCATTCAAGTTGATTTACTTTCTTATCAGTCGGTTCTTGTCACCAATAAAATAGTGCACGTTACTATAATTAATTTGTTTAAAATGCAATTAAAAATCAAACTGCAACGACTTTTTCTTTGAAATAACGTTGCTGGCCATTGGATGTTAGGCAGCTTATTTAAGAACTGTTTCTGTTAATTGAAATTCATGCACAATGCCTTGTACATGGATGTTATTTTTCTGCGTAAATATGAGTTTCTGTGTTTTTTAGTGTTTGGGTGTCTCGTGATTATAATTCATGGTTTCCGCTACATTCATTCTTCCGTGGTGGGGCGCCACGCCAAAATTGATCCCGCCTCGGCTAAATTACAGCTTTTCATTCAAAACATTCAGCCCTGTTTTTTTTTTTTTAATAGCGGGTGATAATCGCACCAAAACGTATTTAAAGGTAAGTGAATTAAAACAGCGTAAACTTTTCTGTAACCGTAGTAGTGCTGTGCGTCATTTGTTTAACCCTTCAAGATTACGTGCTGACTGACTGACAGGTGCGTGATGCGTGAGGCCAGCAAACGTAACGTATGGCTATTTCACTTTACTTCAGGACGCATTAATACTGCTCTGTAGGTCTATTGGAGACATTTAAAAATATTCCTTGCAAATCTAATAAATGTTGGAGACATACTACATAAACGCACTAAATAGTACTTCAGCACCGTTTATTTGAGAGTGCACAAGAAGATCTGCTCTTGAGCAGCATATATTTGAGGGGCGTGCAAGAAGTTTTGTGCATGAGCAGAGGAAATCGGCATGCAAACAAAGAGATTCACATGCTCGTAGGCTATTACATAAATGTGATCTCGACTTGTAATACTGCATTCACGACATTTGTCTTTGAAATAACGCCATAGGCAGTTGGTAGATCTGTGTAAAAAAAGGCCTGCCACTACAGCTGGAAAAAATCCTAGAGGAAACACTGTAATATAATGATATTGTAGTTTCAATGCACATGCTAGGAGCCATTATGAGTATGCAGGGTAATCAAATCAGTTTTCAACATGCGATCACTTATTTACACAGCTTTTTATCACTTTGACTCTGAAAGTGACAACCTATTTGATTTGTGTTGTGTTTGAGCTGTTCAGGTGACTTTCAATCTGAGACAACTAAAATTGCCAGACAAAACTATTAAAATTACTTGTATATGTATTATTTTTTGGGAAGGCCAATGTCAAATTATTTTAGTAAATTCCTGATTGACTTGGTATTGGGATTAATGCTAAATTCTGTTTCTGGTATTGTTTATACCCAATCATTATTTTATTATTTATTTATTTATATAATATTATTGTTAATATTTTCTATTATCCCTTAAGATTGGCAGGTTGTGTTTGTGTTCTGGCATTTTGTGTGAGATAAATTTGTTTTTATAAAATCTCTGTATTTTTGTGGTGTCATTACTGTATATTCTTGTCATTTGTGAGTAAAATGTCTTTCCTTTTCTTCCACCAGGGTGGAGAAAAGTTGCAGGATGCCTTCTATATCTTCCAGGAAATGTCAGACAAGTACTCGCCCACGCTGCTGCTGCTAAACGGTCAGGCTGCCAGTCACATGGCTCAGAATAAGTGGGATGAGGCGGAGTCAGTTCTACAGGATGCTCTGGACAAAGTAAGAGACCTAATTTCAGAATAGCAAATGTCAGGAAGTTTTGTTACGAACAAAAAGTTTTCTTAGAATTTGCATTGCACAGTTTTTGACAAGTATAAACTGACTGCTTGAATTCAAAATGACTTTTACACTAACCACAGCCCAAACCTAGACCATAGTCAATTTACTCTGTAGTCTGAGTTCTGTTCATTTGTTTTGGCACATTAGTTCTTTGACTGTTCGTCAAAATTGCTTCACACTAAACATGTTAGGTACTTTTGAGTTAAAATTAAATACAGTACAAAATTCTTGTCTGAATTTTTGTGTGAATCACATTTGGACCGTGCCGCTGAAATTTTAATTAATCATAATTTAGTTTGGTCTGGTTCATTTTTATTTTTATTTTTTTTTGCATGAATGGCAATCATATACAGTATAATCTAATGTCAAAATCTTGAACGGTGTCTGATTTGATACGTGTGTCGTATAACAAATAGAGATTCGTCACAGTTAATTAATCGTAAAGGCTTCTCAACACTGCGTTTCTGCAAATAAAAGTTATGCAATCTGTGTACTAGTTTATACACCGAGACTGAGGCTATTAACTGAGGCAAGCTCGTGCAAGTTAATTTCCAATGGATGGACGCGCACGCAACGCCATGCGCTCGCGCTTTTCTGGTGCACTAGTTACGATGGGGCTTCTGTGACCGCGGGAACTGCAAACGGCTGAAGTTTGAGAAAGAAACATAGGTTTGCAAACATGCATAGAATATTGATCTGCCAACCGAGGTTAATCGAGTATTTTTTGGAGAGATTGCAGAAAGACACTGAGTGGATCGGCTGTCTAATGGCCCGAATCTCCATGCGTGGCATTCACTGCGTGTTCAGTGCAAATAGACGCTAAATGTCTAACAGCGTATAGATCTTTGTTAAAGAAGCTTGACTTTACTAAGTTTATACTGAAACTTCGGCTCATGACAATGAACGGTACTGTGCAGGTGATTATCGCGGGATTGCTGCTCTGCTCTGCTTATATATTGGGCCGGCTGACTCTTTTTTTTTTTTTTTTTTTTTTTTTTTTTTTCCACAAACACAGAAAAATTAAAACAACAAGACTGATCATTTAAAATTACACAAACTGGAACCAAAACCTTTAAAGAGTAACTTAAAAGAAGTGAAACTTCTTTCTTTCCTTTGTCTGATCTTTCTGGTATTATATTGACATGCGTATAAAAACAATAGTAACGTTACAAAATGTATACTGCAGTGCTTCATTTTTGTTTGATACAAACCATAGATTTTTTTTTCCACAAAATAATAGCAGGACATTTTATAGCACATAATTCACATTTAAGCACATTCAAGGCAGCATGATGATGTTATTTATTGTTTGTATTATTGTCGTCGTCATCATCATTATTAATATTTTATAATTATTGGACATTCATTTTGGAGTTATTGCACAAGTATCAATAAGTGATAACAGAATTAGTTAATTGTTTCTGGTTTTTGTTAGTCCTGATTGATGTTGTTTTAAAATACATTATATCTGTAATATACATTTTGCAGTGGTGCTCATTTATTTTTGGTGCCCTGCATTAGACAGATACTATTCTTCTTATTTATTTTTTCATTGTTCTATCATTTATTTACAGTGTAAAAATGATGTATGTTTAAATGTCAAAAATTTGACTTATTTTTAAGCACAAGTAGAGAAATGGACTATTATTTGTTTTTAATATTATTTTGTGCCGTATTATATGGTTACTGAGCAGCAATAAATAACACTTAAAAAAATATAAGGTGTTTTCATCCGATTTTCTAAACTAGTAGTGTTTTAAAATTAATGAATGCATAATAACAGTGATAACCGTGAAACCGCCATTATTTCTCAGACTATAATCGTACAACCAAAATCTATAATCATTGCATCCCTAATAACAAAGCACTTTGACAAAGAAAGCTGGAATTCACTAACAAACATGGAAAGACCAACAACATTTTGGACACATTGTGCAGGAACCCACTTGACGTTAATTTTGGAATCACATTCATTTGCAGAAGATTAAAATATCACTATTATCATCACAATTAACTGTTAATTCTCTTGTTTACTCACCCTTCACTTGTTCCAAACCTTTTGACTTATGTTAAACATAAAACAAGTTATTTTGAAGAAAGCTGGAAACCTGTAACCATTGATTTCGATGGCATTTCTTTTTCCTACTATGGATATCAATGGGTTCTGTTTTTTTTTTTTTTTTTTTTTTTTGCCTTTTTCAAAATATCTTTTTTGGACAAAGAAACTCATAAAGGTTTGGAACCACACAGGGATTAGTAAATAGTGAGCAAATTCATTTTTAAGTGAACTATCCCTTTAAGTTCAGTTTAATCACATGTTTATATTGCAAAGTTACTGTCATCCTACTTGTTCAGGTCATTTTTGTATCTTATTAATCTCTTATGCTGACAATGCAGTAAGTTAGCTGTCTTTGAGGAAGAACTAGCATTTTTGCTTGAATTTGCCAGAATTCATCAAGTTCCTGTATATCGATTATTCAGTGAGCTGACATGGATTCATTTTGAACTGCTGTCTAATGTCATTATTTGTTCATCTTCTACAGGACAGCGGCCATCCGGAGACACTCATCAACCTCATTGTGTTGACACAACATATGGGCAAACCATTTGAGGTAAAAATACAAATAAATATCATTGTCCTTGTCTGAGGAATTCCTCTGCAGATGTACAGCGGGGAAAATAAGTATTGAACACGTCATGTTTTTTTCCTGGGAATAACATTTCCAAAGGAGCTGATGACACGGATTTAAACCCAATTTTGGTTAAAACTCAAACAATACAAACATTTAAATAAAACAAATTAACAAATGTATTTATTACTTTATATCAGTGGTTCTCAAACTGTGGTACGTGTACCACTAGTGGTACGCAGGCTTCCTTCTAGTGGTACGCGGATGAATCAAATATGTAATATGTACATGCTACATATATTTAAAGAAATTATCAAAAATGATTTATATACGAATATGATGACATAAAGCCTACATTTATGAGGTCTAGGCAACATTTCCAGGTGCTAACAAACCAGGAGTTATTTCTTTTTTAAACTGTACAGAGCTTAAGCTGCTTTACTAGACCTAATACGCTACTGTATTTCAAAACTGCTCATTATGGTGGTACTTGCAAAGAACATTTTTTTCCGAGGTGGTACTTGATGAAAAATGTTTGAGAACCACTGCTTTATATAAAAGGCGATATTTTGGTGATAGCAGTTAAAGATGCCTCTCATGTGGAGAATGAAGTCACATGAGTTCAGCTGTGAGTTTTTCACAGATTTCAACAAGGTCTAAAAATCTTATGGTTCTGTGAGTCTCGTCTATCAAATCTAATCTTTAAATTTGTATTTTTTATTGTATTGAAGTCAGGTGATTGGTTTGGCCATTCTATAGCTTTATTGTCCTCTAAAAGCATTTGAGAGATTTCTAGGCTGTTTTGGATCATTGTTTTGCTGAAATGTCCACCCTGGTTTCATCATCTTCTCATCCTGATAATGTAGATGTTGGACTAATATTAATTTACAATGATGAAGGGCAGAGGGTTGCTGATTAACTACTGAGAGATTTCAGCTGCTGTCTGGGCTTTCACTGCCTTGTTACACCTCTCTTTCTTCATGTGTTCAATATTTTTTCCGTGCGTCATTTCATTTTATTACACATAACTTAATTTGTAAACTAATCAGATTTTTTTCTTTGCATACATGAATTTCTTTGGTTGTTACAAATCCAGGGAACATTTCAAGTCAATTGGATCTATAGAAATGTGTTTTCTGAGAAAAATGGTGACAATACTTATTTTCCCTGCTTTGGGAATTTACTGTTTTCCTGGAAAGCAAATTATACCTTACTATACAAAATGCTCTTGGTGAAAATTGCATATAAGGAAAAAAAATCTGAAATCCTAAAGGTGTGTAAGAGGCATTTGTATACAAACCATGTTGTATAGTTTTATTCAGAAATGGTTGTCAGGATCAAAAATTATTCCAAGACATTATTCCAAGGAAACAATACAGAAGAAACAAAAGAGGTTCCATTCTGGTTGCTGAAAGGGCAGTCCTTCGAGGCCAGTTTATATACAGGCATACAAACACATGATGATGCATTGTCTTTAATCATTGGTCTAAACGGTTTTTTTGTTAGAATCCTGTTAATAATATAATCAAACCATTGTCAGCACAATATTCCTGCAACTGGCACATTCCAATAATTCAACTGATTGAAAAGTACAGTTGGGCATGAGATTATATCAAGAAGCACATACATTTATAACATTTGTCTTTGTTTTTGTGTTTTAAGTATAAATATATAAAATAATATAAATAAAATATATGGAAATGCATAAAAATTATTTATCTAACAAAAATTATGACAGGGAAAAATGTTTACAAGCATAACTTTTTAGTTTTCCTCACTATAAATATATCCATTAAATTTAAAATGTTGAAAATAGAATTTATTTAAAGCGAAATTGTGCCATTTTACTAGTTACAACCACATTATTAAAGCTGTAAAGCCTAAACTAATTAATTTAAAGCTTAACTGAAATCATCAGGGTCTCTCTTTTATAGCACACAAATTCCAAAAGTGTGTGAATGTAAGTTTTTGATTAAAAAATGTGACTTGTATCTGAAAGATTCATTTTTTACTCTTGAGGAATCACCATAATTTTGTGCTTATTTCTCCACAGGTTACAAATCGATATTTGTCTCAACTGAAAGATGCACACAAGTCGCATCCTTTTATTAAGGATTATCTTGCTAAGGTAAGGTTTTTTAATGTGTTCTGGGACCTTGTTCTGTTTGTATATGAGAACCTATTGTGAGGGGATTGTTTTAATAACTGAAGAACTCAATTATGTTTCCGCAGGAGAATGAATTTGACAGGCTTGTCATGCAGTACGCCCCCAGCGCCTGAAATAGTACCCAGTTTTAATTTATACGTCTCCTATGGTGCACCCCAATGTTATTTCTTTCATTTCTTTTATGCCTTTAAACAAAAATGCATCCAGCTCCTTGTCTTTCTCAAATTCCCTAATGCTCTGTCTACATTCCTATATGATGGTTTAATAAACAGGTTGGTTTATCATTCATAGTGTTGCTGTATTTCTACATGCATTTTCTTAATCATAATTAAAAATAATATAATAATCCGATTAAAAAATCAGGTAAATAACACATCCCAGATCTGAATGAATGAAATAATCGTATTAAATACTTTTGTTCTTTACACAGGTAAATGTGCTGACAGCAGAATCACAAAAAAATTATCTATGGAAATCAAATTTATTAACCAACTACATCAACTTAGGCGTGCGTGTTTCATTTCCGAATTTCAAGATCAACTCCTGTTTACAATTGGTAGAACAGCTCACTTTTACTACTAAAGATTGCTTTTGTAAATAACATCCCTGGTTTGTTTAAATTACTCTGCACCACAGGTCCAACAAACACCCTCCTTCCCTAAAGAAACCCACTCACTTTCCTTAGACTCTTTTTTTCCTGCTTTATCAGGGGTCACTACAGTGGTCCAATTACTCTGGGATATGTTTTTTATGTTGGTTAGTGCCCTTTTTGCTGCAATTCAGCTTTGAGAATCTACAAACTCATCAAAGCTGGGAAACAAACATACACTCTCATTCGCACACAGTCAGGCTGTGAGAAATAGAAGCTGTACCTATATATCAATCCGAGGTGTTGGTTAGGACGAAAACTCCTTTTAATATGGAAAATATTCCTTCTATCGGGTGCTGTTGCTTTTATTTAAAACACGACTTAAATCACTCGCTCCTGTACTCTGGCAGCCTTGCGTTTGTTTTGATCCAGGAGTGCAATACTGAGTGTCAAACTTACATACTGCACCTTTAAAGGGCCATGAAACCCCCTTGTTTTAGCAGGGTTTTTTCACAACTCTACTTTGGGAAAAAGTCAGGAAAGTGGGCGTGTCCAGCTTGGTTTAGGGGGAGTGTCGGTGGAGGGAAAGGGGGAAGGTCTGTAAAAATTTGCATAAAAATGGGAGTGTCGGTTTGGAACCGCGCTGATTTTCACAGAGGCAAAACACACACACACACAGGGCAGAAAGACAGTGACTGTGTTTACATGGACATCAGTAATCAAATTATTTGCCAAATTATTAAATGGTGGACTTTAACTGCAGTTTGGCTCTTTCATTCAGAAATTTCATTCATGCCCCTCATGACAAACGAGATATTTGATTTGAGAAATTGCTGGAAGCATGTATTTTTCATGCAATGTTTGATTCCGCAGGGCGAATGAGAGAAAAAAAACCTCCGCATTTCTCTGTAACTTGGATGCACTCGGTAGGTAGCGTTAGAAAGCCGTCCTGTCACAAAATGTAACGAAAATCCAACAGGACGGTAGTTTGATTGTGGTGTTTACATGTTTACACTCTGAGAGCAGCATTTAGAGCAGATTTTTCAGTCCATAATATTGTAGTGATATTAACGTACTGTAAACTTTAGTAACTTAGAAATCATTTGACTAAGGTCTGTCTTTAAACACTGAAAGAGTACTATTGACCATACCAACTAACTTTGCCTCTGAAGAAACAAACAAAGACCACTCATTTACCAAATCTGTAGAGACAGGACAATCAACACCAACTGGAGCCGCGTCTTTATTAAAAGGAGACGAGCCGCAAATCCAGATTCACCATTTCCAGATAAGAAACGTTCTCGGGTAAAACATGTTCCTTAGACACGTATTTCTGTTGTATGTTGCGTGCACTGATCCACATGTGAGTCCAGCTGTGCTCTCATAGAGGGAAAATGAAAACAAAACCTGCACTGCAGCAAATTATGAAAGCAACACTGACGACCCGTATCTCAACAATTCTTGTTCTCCCGCTTGGCAACACAACGTGTTGTCTCTCTGCCGTCTGAACACTGTAGCGGGTAAAAGCAGTCTTGGAAGCGGTCATAAATATTAATGAAGTTGCACCACATACTCAATAGAGCGCGCTGATTGGTTTGAACCAAGTCTTACTCATGCATTAATGCAGCACACTCAGAGACGTAATAAGGCACTCCCAGGTACAGACGTCCAGTCTACACGCTGGAACACATGCTAATATGTCATGGCCGTGACACAGCTTCAAAAATTACTTTCAAACCGGAAGTACGAAATTGCTCGAAATAACGCATAAACAACCAATTTTCACTTTAGTGTAATAAATGTGTCTAAATAGTGTTTTAGCAGTGTGGGACACATATACAACTGTCAACATCTCAAAAAATGTGTTTTGGTGTTTCGTGACCGTTTAAAGGCTTTATGAAACAATTAAAGGATTCCTCGAGTGACAGTCACCCAAAGCACCTAAGCTTATCTTATCAAGCGAATCATCTCATGATTTCATTAAACACCCTACAGGATCTTTCAGAGTTATAAGTTGAAGTCTAAAAATGAGTTCTGGGAAAACTGAAAGCATCAATCACAGTGGCTTTTATTTGCTGGTTTTCTTCCAGAAATGATTCGTTTAAAAACATTAAACTGAGGTCCCGACTCTCTGTAGTCATAAAAAAATTCGAGAATGTCCTTCGAGCAGAGTAAAGAGTATATTATTTAAACATTTTTGACTGCATCAAGTTTCCCAAGTGTTGTTTTTTCAGTATCGATAGTATAAACAGTTTAGATCTAAAGTAATTACTTTTTGGTTTCCTGTTATTTTGCTTGCATATTATATTTGGACATTGCAAGAACATCCCTACATATGCGATAAACAGTTTTTTTTTAAATTTAAAAAAAAATTTTTTTTTGTGTTTACAGATGCCCATAATTGTGATTTATCTTCACTTTCGCATTGCATTATGACATCTTGATCTCTATTTTGCCAACTTTTAATGTAGATAATACTTGAAACTATATGTTTTATAAGAAAAAACAAGTCTACAGTATATGAAAACAAAACATTCTGACAGTTCATTACCACCCAATTATGAGTCAATTTGGGTTTACATGAGCCCCCATATATCATTTCAACTAGATTTAAACTTTTCCTTTCATTTTAATGTTTCAACATCAAAATTAATTGAATTTTAAAATCAGCAGAAATCAAGGTCCCATAATGCAATAGAAAATGTAAATAAATGGAAAGCATGAGCCACTTGAATAGAGGCGCAGATTTTTTCAAGTTCGCTCCCAGGTTCGATTCTCAACAGGGCCTATTTTATTCTCCAAATAATTTAAATGTACTGTTTGTCACAGCTTTTATAAGTATGCAACCAGTGAAGTTTTGCTTACCGGGGGTTACTGTGATTATTTTCTTAACCTGAATAGGCTTGAGACAGTGGTTGTGTTTCCACTCCCTGCCGCATGAGGGCAGCAGATATTGCTTCTTGTGTGCATCTCCTACCATTTTGCATTTCCTAAATGATCTACCCTGCATTACATTTGATTCATACCCCGACTAACTTCTACAAAATCTCTCAGAAAATCTGTTCACAGCATATTACAGTCTCCCTATTCTGTTTCGGGTGCACCAGGATATCAGATGCCACTCTTATCTGAACCATCCTCTTCAGGCTTGGAGACTCAACATGCTGGAGATGAATGCAGTGTGTTTGATAAGGTTTTAAAAATGTGTTTTTGTAACAGGACAAGGAAACACTTTTAAGGCAGTTATGTGGTTGACAAATGCTCAAGACCTTGTCATGTATTATGTATAATCATGAGTGCATTTAAGCAACATAAGCAGCCACTCCAAGAAAATCTGAGGGCCCCCAAATAAATACCTAGAAGTATAAATTATACCTTTAAATTCTACATAACACCATTTTCTATCATATTTTATAAAATGAGGATCTAAAAAATTCCTAGTTGATGACTGAGGTCAGAGAAGAATGGCTAGATCTGCACTGAAAAAAATTATTCAGAGATGACTCCTTGGATTTACTCAATTTTTTTTTTTACGTAAGGTGGTTGTAACAATTTATTTGTGTTGAATTTAAACAAACAAATTAAGTTGAACATTTTTAAACTTAATTTGTTTGTTTATATTCAACACAAATAAATTGTTTGCAACAGTTCTTCATGCAACACTTTTTTCAGTGTGGTTTCAGCTGATAAAAAAGGCAACAGTAACTCAAATAACCACTTGTTACAACCGAGGTATGCAGAAGAGCATCTCTGAATGCACAACACGTCCAACCTTGAAGCGGATGGGCTACAGCAACAGAAGACCACACCGGGTGCCACTCCTGTCAGTTAAGAACAAGAAACTGAGGCCTCGTTGTATAATGTAAATTTTCGCACACTCTGGGCATGCTCGTTCTAGTATAAACAGGAAGCATGTATCTCGCTTGGCATTTGGTTATTGTTAGTCAACAAACGCCGGTTGAACAATGAACGCGACGACAAAGAAAGCAAGAGAGGTATTTTTGTGAACAGACGACGAAGTTGAGTTGTTACTAAACGTAACAAATGAATAACTGCACACTAGCGCCTAAAACAGACAATAGTGCAAACAACGCTCCCATTTCTGTGTCCATGTGGTTGTTTACAGTGAAGGCTGGTTTGCTGTCTTCCGGTACGTTAACGCCATGTGTTAGTCATGTGATGGAATGAATGTGACGAATAAGGGAGGGACACAATGACACAAAAGCCCCGATCAGGTAGCGAATGTTGGCAGCCCCGGCTCCATTTTCAGATGTCTCCGTTTTTCCCCATCCACACTGAGACAGAGCAGTAGTGTTTTATATTGAAAACAGCCTCTCCAGCGTTTCCAAAACGCTCCGTGTTTGGCGCTCAAACTCTGGCGTAGTGTGGATGGATGGTGTAACCGTAGCAAAACTTATGCGTTTTCAAACTTAAACGCATTAGTGTAAACGGTGTCTGAGGCTACAATTAGCACAGACTCCCCAAAATTGGACAATAGAAGATTGGAAAAATGTTGCCTGGTCTGATGAGTCTCAATTTCTGCTGTGACATTCGGATGGTAGGGTCAAGATTTAGCATCAACAACATGAAAGCATGGATCCTTCTGCCTTGTATTAATGGTTCAGGCTGGTGGTGTAATGGTGTAGACCAGTGGTTCTCAAAGTGGGGGTCGGGACCCTCTGGGGGGTCGCGAAA